TTACAAAGCGATTCAATACTTTCGAAAGTCACGATCGCAATATATATGTCCATGCCTAATATCCGATAGCCAGAAAGTGATTCTGTGTTTTATAAATTGTTAAATTTTTGGTATTTGTTATGCAGCAAGCCCAGAGATTGCTGTGTACACTGACTTTATGTTAAATTTACTTTAATGTGTGATAGGAATAAAACGCGATCATAAACGAATGATTTCTCCACTCAAATCAATGGTGGCTTGGACCCGGAAACAGTATACATACGTCACAAACACGTCACCACTTAACAAGCGGATTGAAATAATTCTCGTTAACTTCCGGCCGCAACCATCTGCTTGTTAAGTGTGATGTCACGCGAAGAGGCTTCCGGGTCCAAGCGCTCTATTCAACTGTATGGGGAGACTCATAAAATGGAAATAATAAACGTTTACAAAGCGATTCAATACTTTCGAAAGTCACGATCGCAATATATATGTCCATGCCTAATATCCGATGGCCAGAAAGTGATTCTGTGTTTTATAAATTGTTAAATTTTTGGTATTTGTTATGCAGCAAGCCCAGAGATTGCTGTGTACACTGACTTTATGTAAAATTTACTTTAATGTGTGATAGGAATAAAACGCGATCATAAACGAATGATTTCTCCACTCAAATCAATGGTGGCTTGGACCCGGAAACAGTATTACATACGTCACCAACACGTCACCACTTAACAAGCGGATTGAAATAATTCTCGTTAACTTCCGGCCGCAACCATCTGCTTGTTAAGTGTGACGTCACGCAAAGGCTTCCGGGTCCAAGCGCTCTATTCAACTGTATGGGGAGACTCATAAAATGGTAATAATAAACGTTTACAAAGCGATTCAATACTTTCGAAAATCACAATCGCAATATATATGTCCATGCCTAATATCCGATAGCCAGAAAGTGATTCATTTTTATATAAATTGTTAACATTTTGGTATTTGTTATGCAGCAAGCCCACAGATTGTTGTGTACACTATGACTTCATATAAAATTTACCTTAATGTCTGATATGAATTAAAAGTAATCATAAACAAAAAATTTCTCAACTCAAATGAGTGGCGACTTGGACCCGGAAACAGTATTACATACGTCACCAACGTCACCACTTAAGCGGATATCTGATCTAGCAACAACCAGCGATCTGCGAAACTTGACGCACAACCTTGCGTTTAGGCTCCGACGCATTTGCATGCGTATGAATGGAAGTCTATGGGGAGAAAAGTCCAGTGTGACCGCAGCTTAATACTATATAAATAGTAGTTACTAACTATGCTAAGTGTTTTAATATGTCATCAAATGATTTGTGTTCTAAATATGCATTAATATGAACACAAATAATATTTTAAATATGAAAATGATAAAGATATTATACACATGTGTTTATTTACCCATTAATTAATGTATTTGCAGTAGGTAGTGCTGTCGCCTCACAGCAAGAAGGTCGCTGGTTCGAGCCTCAGCTCAGTTGGCGTTTCTGTGCGGAGTTTGCATGTTCTCCCTGCGTTTGCGTGTGTTTCCTCCAACAGTATCTGGATGCAGCCTTTATGATGCCGGCTGAGACTGCATCGCTCAGCTATGCAATGTCAGACACAATGCAATCAAATGGAGCTAGTGACGTCACTGTGATGGGTAGGGTTAGGGGTGGGGTTAGGTGAGCCCATTAAAAAGCATTGGATGCAGCCCAGATTGCACAGCACCAGGTCTGCAGCCAGACCCCTCTTGTTTCCTTCGGTTTCCCCCCCAGTTCAAAGACATGCGGTACAGGTGTATTGAGTAGGCTAAATTGTCCGTAGTGTATGAGTGTGTGTGTGTGTGGATGTGTGTGTGGATGTTTCCCAGAGATGGGTTGCGGCTGGAAGGGCATCCGCTTGCTGGATAAGTTGGCGGTTCATTCCGCTGTGGCGACCCTGGTTAGTAAAGGGACTAAGCCAACAAGAATGAATGAATAATTAATGTATTTAATGATACTCAATCCCCCTTTCATTTTTGACTTGTAGAATAATAAGTCTTCTGTACCATTAATTTTTCTTTTACTTAGCTATAATTAATCCACTTGTGAATTAATGAATTAGAAAACACCTCACTGATACTACGTCAACAAATTAATCCAATCAGCTGTCAGCAATGTCCATGCAAACCAGTAATAATGAAGTGACGTTCGCATACGCGGATCCAAAATAACAGCGTTAGCATCATGATATTCACATTCAACGACTGCCACACGACACCAATGTGTTCACAATTAATACAGCCTACAAATGGGGGGCGTGGCATAAACCGTCGCGCGTAAACAAATCAGTGTTATTAGTACAATAATCATAATTTAGCATAGGAAGTTTGACAGCGGCCTGCGCATGCGCGCTGTGCGCCTACCGTCTCATCGGTGTTTATAATCTGAATCTAAAACGTATCAAGCCAATTAATCGTTCAATTCTGAAGTGTCTCACTGTTTACATCTGACCCAGAGCACGATGACACCCTTAGAAGTGTGTTTATTAACCCCGAAGCTATTCATGTTTGGAGATGAGTCTTAATTATATATATTTTTCCACTAGCAAAGGGAGGAAAACACATGACTCTTTTAAAACACACTGCTCACACGCTCCGTCTGAAAACATCAGCGACTCGATCGCCATCCAAACAAAGACTACAAGGCTTAAAGTTTGAGTGATCCAACCCGAGATGAGCAAAGATGATGAGGAGCCAAACAAACAAACAAGCAGAGCAAACCGCGCAGCTCACCCGCGGATGTGTCCTGTAAGTACCGCTCCAGCTGCGGGAAACTGAGCTCGGGCAGATCCAGAACCGGGCCGTAGCGCTCCAGAAAGGAGCAAACCACCGCAAAACCGGGGCTGTGGGCTGGAGCGAGAGCCGCCGTGCTGGTGGTGCCCGGAGCAGCCATCTTTCCTGGAGATGACGAGCTTTGCTTAGACCCAAAACTGCCCACAATACACCGCGACACCCACCCAGAGCATCATCCGGAGGGGCAACTCGCGTGTACGGCGCACCACAATGCCACCGGCATCATCATCATCATCATCATCATCATCGTCGTCGTCGTCATGAGCATTATTATCTTATTCATAATTAATACATTTACAGTATTTTCGTTTTTGAATGCCAAACGTGCATGATAATAAGGAAATGGGAGAATTATATAGAGTAAAGATAACATTCAGAAGAAAAAGAAACAACGTTGTTATCTTTACACTTAAAGAGATACAACAATAACAAGAGCATAAACAAAACAAAACATGTGGGATTGCATGAAATAATCTGAAATAAAGAATATTTACAAAAATATAATTATCCTCAGTATTAGTATCTTCATTATAATTATTTTTACAGCCTTTTTAAAATACCAAACATATAATAATTTAATAATTCATAATAACAGGTAAACGAGACAATGGTGTCTTATAAATGTAAATACAACAATAACAAGAAAATGTAATCCAAAAAATGTGAGTTTGCATGAATTAATCTGTTACAAAACCTATAAACAGAAATAAAGTATCTTCATCACAATAGCACGCGTTAGTGCTGCTTTATCATGCTTAGAGTTTTCTGTTTTGTTCACTGAGTAGCTTGTTTATTGGTGACAGGGATGAATGGTGAATTCATACAGATTGTATTATTATATAATAAATATATTTATAATGCATGAGAGATACATAATATAATGTAATATAGTATAATAATGTAATATAATATAATGTAATATAATATAATATCATGTAATATAGTATAATAAATTGCAATATAATATAATGTAATATAATATAATGCAATCAAATATAATATAATATAATGTAATATAATATAATGCAATCAAATATAATATAATGCAATATAATAATGTAATATAATATAATTAATTCTTTCTTTTTATTTTCAGCTTAGTCCGTTTATTAATCTGGGGTTGCCAGCTTATGTTTTATGCAGCGGATTCCCATCTCTGGGAAACATTCATACACACTTATTCACACAAATACACTACGGACAATTTAGCCTACCCAATTCACCTGTACCACATGTCTTTGGACTGTGGGTGAAACCAGAGCCACCGGAGGAAACCCATGCGGATGCCGCAGAACATGCAAACTCCACACAGAAACACCAACTGACCCAGCCGAGGCTTGAACCAGCGAACTTCTTGCTGTGAGGCGTCATCACTACCTACTGCGCCAACGCATTGCCCCAATATAATATAATCTAATAAAATAACTAAAATAGAATATATTTAATGTAATATAATAAAATTTAATATATAATATAATATAATGTAATATAATATAATAAAATGTAATATATAATATAATAAAATGTAATATATAATATAATATGATAATGTAATATAATAAAATGTAATATATATTATAATGTAATATAATATAATAAAATGAAATATAATATAATGCAATATAATATAGTTTATTTACCGGGACATAAATGCTTTATATTTAAATACGAAAATAATGTACAAACAAAACAGGGCAGAAAAACCTTTTTATTCTCCCATATCATATAATATTCAAAATAATGTATAAATAAAATAAATTATAATTATTACATTATATTATAATTTATATATTATTATATTATAATGTAAATTATTAATAAAATTAATAATAATATAGGCGGTTCATTCCGCTTTGGCGACCCCAAATTATTAAAAGGACAAGAAAAAAATGAATGAATGAATAATAATGTTGCATTAAAATAAACTACAACATGAAATAATATATAATCGATAAAAATCACATCCAACCATAACTATTTATTCAAGACCCGCATGAATAAGTTCATAAATGCATTAAATTTAAAGGTTATTAAAAAGTATAACAGGGAAAAATCATGTAATCGGTGCCTCTATCTGACTCCAGCATTTAGTACGTCACTGAACGGCAGCCAATCAGCGCAAACGCACGCTGAACTGACGCTGGCAGTAGACGTAGGTGGTGGGTGTGTCCCTGCGTCACATGAAGAGAAACACAACACACACAGGGAAGGTTGAGTTGCTGTCCGAGGCAAGATTATATAATATAATAAACATATTTATAATGCATGAGAGATTTTAAAGTCGAATAGTTTAAAGCTTCGAATAGTTAAAACAGCGTTTAACGTATAAACAGCAGGCTTTTATTTATATGCACGACGTACAAGCGTTTCTTAACTACATGTATCGTTACTGAAATGTATATTGGATTAATTTGATATTAAAAAAGCTATTAATGTTGGCTTTATTAAAGTCAAATATCTTAAAACACTACAATGATGTTGCCAGATTGTACTACTGTATTTACACTCCAAGTAACCATATAAACGAATAATACGTTTCCATATAGTAAACATAGTATGGCAGAATACAATATAAAAGCTCAAGACTCACTGAATTGATGTGATATATCTTAAAACACTGTACAATGATGTTGTCAGACTGTAATATTGTATTTAAACTCCATGTAACTATATAAATAGCATAGTACTTTTCCATATAGTAAACATACTATGGCAGAATACAATGTAAAAAGTCCAGACTTACCGAATTAATGTGAATTGTCTTCTACACTGTTACAGGAAAGACAAGATCATGTCGTCTCCAGAAATTGCTTCCTTATCCTGGGGCCACATGAAGGTCAAAGGTTGCTCCACATCCTATAAAGACTGTAAAGTGTGGCCTGGTGGCAGCCGTGCATGGGACTGGCGTGAAACCGGCACAAATGTGAGATCAGCCTCAGCCTATGTTCATAATATCTGCAATTCACTGTAACATGATTTAGCTGTGCATTTAACAGACAGAAGGGACTTTCATTGCATCAAGGGACACAATTAATTGGTTCATTCATACCTTCCTAGGAATCAGTCTCTGTATCAAACTAATAAAAGTAATGTAATTCACATTAAAAACACATCCCATTTTAGTCATCAGTGTCAGATTTTACTTTAGACCACAAAACCATTGTGGTGTATTTGTAGGAGTAGCCAACAATACATTGTAGGAGCACAAAAAAAATATCTAATTTTCTTTAATGACAAAAAACATTACGTAAAAATCCATGAAGATGTTTTGTACATTTTATTTTGTAAGTATGTCAACATTTTCATTCATTCATTTTCTTTCCGGCTCAGTCCCTTTATTAATCAGGGGTCGCCACTGCGGAATGAACCGCCAACTTATCCAGCATATGTTTAACACAGCGGAAGCCCTTCCAGCTGCAACCCATTACTGGGAAAGCTCAATACACTCTCATTCACAACAGACAATTCAGCTTACCCAATTGACCCGTACCACATGTGTTTGGACTGTGGAGAAAACCAGAGCACCTGGAGGAAACCCACACCACCACAGGGAGAACATGCAAACTCCATACAGAAACACCAACTTAATCAGCCAGAACTCGAACCAGCAACCTTCTAGCTTTAACACAATTAAAATGGAATATTTTGACAAACTGCACATCAACAGAAAGGTCCATTAATCTCTTGATGCATACATGTCACGTTCAAAAGAATTACCCTCATAACTCATTTAATAGTCCAGTGTGATACCTTACAAGTGTTTTTATATACACTACCTGACAAAAGTCTTGTCGAATATCCAAGTTTTAGGAACAACAAATAATAACTAGACTTCTAGCTGATCATTTGGTATCAGAAGTGGCTTATATGAAAGGCAAAGACCTCTAGATTACGCTTATTTTACCACACTAAAATATAATCATGCCTTGATCTTTTAATGATTTCATTAGGACAGTAAGATCTGACTTTGCTTAGACAAAAGTCGTGTCACTGAACAGAAATAATGTCCAGTATAGAATATAAAGTCATGAATGAATATTGTGTGTGGCTCCATCATGAGCTTGGAGGACTGCATCCATACATCTCTGCACTGACTCAAATCACTGATTAATAAAGTCATCTGGAATGGCGAAGAAAGCGTTCCTGCAGGACTCCGAGTTCATCAAGACTCTTTGGATTCATCTTCAATGCCTCCTTCATCTTACCCCAGACATACTCAATAATGTTCATGTCTGGTGACTGGGCTGGCCATCCTGGAGCACCTTGACCTTCTTTGCTTTCAGGAGCTTTGATGTGGAGGCTGAAGTATGAGCAGGAGCGCTATCCTGCTGGAGAATTGTCCCTCTCCTGTGGTTTGTAATGTAATGGGCAGCACAAATGTCTTGATACCTCAGGCTGTTGATGTTGATCATCCACTCTGCAGATCTCTCGCACGCCCTCATACTGAATGTAACCCCAAACCATGATTTTTCCTTCACCAAACTTGACTGATTTTTGTGAGACTCTCGGGTCCATGTGGGTTCCAGTAGGTCCAATAAGTCAAGTCTATCTTCTGCCATGTTTCTAAATGATCAACTAGAAGACAAGTTATTATTTGTTGCTCTTAAGAATTTTGTCAGGTAGAGTACATGCAGGGTTAAGATACATGCATTAAGATCAATTAGCTTAAATGGCAATAAAAAGCAGCATTACATTTTATTTTAACTGGCTTTACATTTAGCGGTGGCTTTACATTTCCAATCGGTGCAAAATTGGGCTGACATGGGCTTATGAGATGCATGAATATTTTTCTGTAAATCATGACAATGAAATGGTGTCATTTTTGTTTAGTTATAATATTTTTTGCATGACATTATTAACAAATACAAATCTGATTGAAAGCTGAATTACCCTTTTGACGGATGATTATTGTTTTAAATACACCTCATTTACTTACTACCATTTTACACATACTACAACAATAAGTAAACTGATGTACAGCAACTATGTAGTGACTAAAAACCACTGCATTAAAATTGCTTGTGTTAAAGGGATGTTTCACCCACAAATGAAAATTCCCTCACTATTTGTAAACACTAAACAGTACATTCTGAAGAATGCTGGATAAAAGCAGCCATTGACATCCATATTAATAAAATACTATGAAAGTCAGTGGCTGTGTAATCCAACATCCCTCAGTATAACTTGAAAGAAAAGAAACTGGTGGAGGATGAGTGAATAATTTTAATTTTTGTGTGAACTATCCCTTTAAATAAGACTTATTCAAGTGCATCTATATTTTCAGCATCATCCAGGTGTGCAGCCGTCCGATTTAGAGGAGATTTTGAGGAAAGGAGTGCAGACGCTGGTTATAGGAAGAGGGATGAGTGAAGCTCTGCAGGTAACTGTGAATCTGCTGAACAGTCACCTGAGTGTTTTAATACTTAAAGGCGCATTACGTCATTTTGACCACTAAAGGGCGCATAATGGCAACAAACAAAGACGTATTTTGATGCTGGCATGACTGAGTGTGGAATCATTGGAATTGTGGTATTTATCATCCTACAGGACTCATGATGGTTGATGAGCTAAAGTTTTCACCACTTAATATAGTGGTAGAATCAGTGTTTCCTCTAGATTTTTCCAGCTGTGGTGGCAGGCCTTTTCGTAACACAGATCTACTAACTACCTGTGGCATTATTATTTCAATGACAAATGTCGTGATTGCAGTATTATAAGTCGAGATCGCATTTATATAATAGCCTACAGCATGCGCATCTCTTTGCTTGCGCGCTGATTTCTCTGCTCGTGCACAAAACTTCTTGCCCGCCCCCTCAAATATAAGCCGCTTCAAGAGCACGCAGATCTTCTTGTGCGCTCTCAAATAAACGCTGCTGGGTGCGATTTTGTGCGTTTATGTAACAAATATGTCTCCAGCATTTATTAGATTTGCAAGGAATATTTATGAATGTCTTCAATAGACCCACAGAGTAGTATTAATGCATCCTGAAGTAAAGTGAAACGGCTATACGTCGTGTTTGCTGGCCTCACGCATCACGCACCCGTCAGCATGTCACCTTAAAGGGTAAACAAATGTCGCACAGCACTTGTACTGTTACAGAAAAGTTTGCGCTGTTATAATTCACTTACCCTTTAATACGTTTTGGTGCGATTATTACGCGCTATTAAAAAAATAAAATGTTTTGAATGAGAAGCTGTAATGGAGCAGTGGCGGAATGAGTTTTGGTGTGGCGCCCCGCCATGCAAGAATGAATGTAGCGAAAACCATGAGTATGAAGCAGATTAAGAATGAAAGTAGCGAAACTAGAGAAATGCTGAAATAATTGCTGATGAGAGATGAAAACAGCAGAGCTTTTATTATGCCTTCTGTTATAATGCCTCTCTATGCAGTCTAATAAACACAAAATAATAAAGACGCAATTCACCTAAAAACTTAAAAGAACCCCCTAATTGTCTTACCCTCCGTCAACCCTTGCCGTATATGACTTTTTTTCTGTGTGACAAACGCAGTTTTAGTAGTTCTAAATTTTATCATGGCTCTTCCATGCTGTATAATGTTGGATAGTTGAATAATCCATCCTGGTTTGTATCAACGCTGGTGGTGTAATGGTGTGGGGGATATTTTCTTGGCACACTTTGGGCCCATTAATACCAACTGAGCATCGTGTCAAGGCCACAGCCTACATGAGTATTGTGGTTGACCATGTTCATCCCTTTATGACCACAGTGTGCCTATCTTCTGATGGCTACCTCCAGCAGGATAACACACCATAAAGCACAAATCATCTCAGACTGGTTTCTTGAACATGACAATGAGTTCACTGTACTCAAATGGCCTCCACAGTCACCAGTTCTCAATCTAATAGAGCATCTTTGGGATGTGGTAAAACAGGAGATTGGCATCATGGATGTGCAGTCGACAAATCTGCAGCAACTGTGTGATGCTATCATGTCAATATGGAGCAAAATCTCTGAGAAATATTTCCAGTATCTTGTTGAATCCATGCCACAAAGGATTAAGGCAGTTCTGAAGGCAAAAGGGGACCAACCTGGTACTAGTAAGGTGTACCTAATAAAGTGGCCGGTGAATGTATGTGCTACAAAAACACACTGATCCATTTTAAAAGATACCTCCTGGTGGCATATGGGTCAGTTTTACAAAGTATGTATGTGCTTTTAGAAACTTCAAAATAAAAGTCACTATCCAACACCATTATACAGCATGGAAGAATCAGGATAAAATTTAAAACTACTCTGACCGTGTTAATCTGACAGGAAAAAAATACATGTACATTGAGGATGGCTTGAGGGTGAGTAAATTATGGGAAAATGATTATTTTTTGTGTGAATTATCCTTTTAAAGCGTCTTTGGTGTTTTCATGTTTTCTATAAATCCAGACCAGGGGTCCGTTCTTCGTACGTGGATTACTCAGTTAGCTGGATTTGGATATTGACGATTTGACACGATCCAGGATCGTTTCGTTCTTCAAAGCTGATCCGAGAGTTGTTGTCATGGCAACATTTCTGCTAGCTCAAACCTGATCGGGAGCAGGTTCAATTCATATAAACAGGATTAGATCGGCTCAGTTCAAGCAAAGATAATACAGAAAGTATGTACCGAATTCTGATATTTTCTTACAGTAGTAGTTATATACACTTGGGAAAATAATACATAATTTTTAAATATATATATAAAGTTATAGTCATTAATAAAATAAAAAAAGTTATACATATTAATAAAACGTATGCAATCTGCACCCTCGAAATGAAAGTACAAAGACTGCCATCTGGTGCAAAGAGAAAACTTTTTGAAATGAACTTTTTAGATCGCTTTAGTACAAATTGTGTATAATAGAAATGCACAATATGTGATTTTTTTAAGCAATAATACATTTATGCAGTCATAAACATGTTTTGATGGTTAATATGACAGTGATTTGATGCTTCACAAAAGTTGCAGACACCTTTACCAATATGAAAATGCTTTTGTAAACAACCTGTTATTCTTTACACCGATTAAAAAACGGCTACTATTATAAAGAAAATCTTTTCTAAACGTAGAACTAAATACATTGATTTGCATTGAAATACATGATGAATACTCTTGTCTTGACAAATGAAAGTGTAAAGCCTGCAGCTCACAACAAATGTGGAAAGTTCTTGCGTGTCATATTTAACGCACCGTTTACTGCTAATTTGATGTAATTTTGCTCACATGGATAATTGAATATTAATCAGATGATGTCATTACGCTGCTGTGCCGTCAGCCAATCATTGCATTGCTGATCATGATTTCGAGGATCGATAGATCTGTCCTTCACAACACACGCAGCGATCTCAGATCAGTTCATCCAGACATTCTAATCTGATTCGCGAACTTGTTTGAAGAACCAAATTAGCGAGAGATCAGTTATCAAGATTAAAAGATCCAGGATCTGCCAAATAATCTTAGATCATTTAAGCGAGGTACGAAGAACGGACCCCAGAAATCGACATCATTAGCATGAACACAAAACACATGCTCCATCTCACTAGTTAAAATGTATTAATTCTCTGGATTGAACATTCTTTGAAACATTTGGGATTATCTAAGTACAAATGTCAGCACAATATATAACTGTTGTAATGGATTTTGGATATTTTAATGAACAAAATCGTACATATTGAGCCTTTAAATGTGCGAAATTCGCTTTGTTGTGTTTTAGGTTCCTCCGTCCACCTTAGATTACGTGAAGAAGCAGGGAGTCGACGTTCAGGTGTTTCAGACGGAGCAGGCTGTCAGAGAATACAACGCTTTAGCAGGAAAAGGAGAAAAAGTGGGCGGAGTTTTCCACTCCACCTGCTGAAGACATTAACACAACCTGCTAATTACACTTACTACAGAGTTTAATGTGCCTTACTCTTCAAACGAACACTGTTTTCTTAATTTAGGCTTCAGGATTGTGTCTTTGTGTTAGTGAAAATGAAAACAAATTGAAAACAATTGTGCTCAGAAAATACTATATTAGCAAACGCATACACAAGGAATACAAATGAACAAAATGATTTATTTTGGATAAAAAATAACAGTGAAAGCGTCTGATTTTTGTCTCGGCTGTTAATTGCAGATATGTACACGACAGCTCAACATTGTAGGATCAGGATTTATTTAATCAGGTCAACAAGACTGCATTTATTTGATCCAAAAATACAATAAAACAGTAATATTGTGATATCAAACTGTTTGATTTTGATGTTTTACAATATTATTTTTTATTACGAGATTCGAAGCTGAATTTACTCTAGTCTTCAGTGTCACATGCTCCTTCATAAATCATTATAATTTGCTCATTTACTGTTATATTATGATTATTACTGGTCAATAAACATTCTTATAATATTTAATGTTGAATATGTTTGTTCTTGCTTCATAGTTTTGTTTGTGGAAACCTTTTAGGATAAAACACACGTGTTTTTTGTGGGGACATTACATAGGTTTGTAATGTCTACTGTACAAACTGTGTTATCTATTGCCCTAACCCCACCCTACCCCTAAAGCCAACCCTCACAGGAAACTGTAGTTTTACTTATTGTGTGATTTTGAAGCTTTTTGAGAAATGAGGATGTCAGCAATGTCCTCATAAGTCACCATCTTCTTGTAATACCTGTGTCATACCCATGTCATTTTACACATTTGTGTCCTATGTCACAAAAACCCGTACGCACATTTCAAGAGTGAAAGCAATTAACAAATGAAAGATATATGATGTCAAATATACATATATTAATATGAATAACATTATAAAAGTCTCTAATTGATTTCACTTTCACTCTTGAACAGTTTACAGTGTCCTTGATGAATTAAACTAAATACATTTCAATGCTTTTTCTAACAGTATACAGTTTCCACAAACAATATGAAGCAGCTGAACAGTTTTCAACACTAATAATAATAAAATATTAATAAAATATTTCTTCTTATACTAGAATAATTTCTGAAGCATCATGTCACACTAAAGTTTTCACAATGTAATTTATGCATGCGATTCAATGGTGAATTTACTGCAGTGTTCACATAATCCTTCATAAATGATTATAATATGCTCATTTACTGTTTTATTATGATTATTACTGGTTAATAATCATTCTTACAATATTTAATGCTGAATATGTTTGTTCTTGCTTTATAGTTGTGTTTGTGGAAACACAAACCTTCTAGGATGGATTTTTAGGATAATTTGATGAAAAAGCTCAAAATTTCACAACACACATATCTGTGTTTTTGTGAATTGTGGGGACATTACACAGGTTTCCATTGTTTTTCTACCACATAAACTGTATTTTCCATTGCTCTAACCCCACTCTACCCCTAAAGCCAACCCTCACAGGAAACTGTGTAGTTTAACTTCTGAAAAAAACTCATTCTGTGTGATTTACAAGCTTTTTGAGAAATTTGGATGTCAGCAATGTCCTCATAATTCACCAACTTTTTGTAATACCTGTGTCATACCCATGTCATTATACAGATTTGTGTCCTATGTCACAAAAACCGGCACACAAGAGTGAAAGCAAAGTAACAAATTAAATATATATGATGTAAAATAAAAATATATTAATATAAATAACATTATAAATGTCTTTAATTTATTTAGTATTCACTCTTGAACAATTTAAAGTGGCCTTGATGAATAAACTAAACACATTTTACACAAAAATATGAAGCAGCCAACCAGTTTAACACTAATAATAATAATAATAATAATAGAGTTCTTATATTTAAATGATTTCTGAAGCATCATGTGACACAAAAGACTGGAGTGATCTTGCAGAAAATTCAGCATTAAATCTCTGAAATAAATTAAATGTACACCACATTATATAAGAAAACAGTTATTCAAAATTGCAATAATATTTCAGAATTTTCTATTGTATTTATGCTCAAATAAATGCAGTCTTGATGAGCACAATGCGCACTAAAAATGTTAGACTGAATGTTTGTGTTTTGCCTGGGCTCCAGTGTCAGCGGCGGGCTGGTTTGGGCATGATGAACACTTTGACGGGTTTGCTGAGGTGTATTGTGCCCTCGATAGAGCTCTCGCTGGTAGGCAAGCCGTCCATGCTCTCGTTCCACGCGGGTTTAGAGGAGGACAGTTTACTGCTGCTGGAGCTGTAGGCCAGAAGCAGACGCACTTCAATCTGACACGGCTCTGAAAGAGGAAATAAACAGACGTGAGATGCACTGTTCATTCAAAATGCAGGATTTATTCAAAGATCAAGAGACTCAAGCTGAAGTCGGGTTTTATTGTCATTTCACTACACGTGTGGACATAAAGTGAAACAAAACATCAAGTCCTGCAGGACCACAGTGCTGCATAAATAAACACAATCATAAACATGAACATCACTGGATGTAGGAGCTATTTTAAACCTATCCATAGCTAACCAATCTAACTATACACTTATTGGCCACTATATTAGGTACACCTTACTAGTACCGGGTTGGACCCTTGCCTTCAAACCTGCCTTAATCCTTTGTGGCATAGATTCAACAAGATACTGGAAATATTCCTCAGAGATTTTGCTCCATATTGACATGATAGCATCACGGAGTAGATTTGTCGGCTGCACACTCATGATGCGAATCTCCTGTTCCACCATATCTCAAAGGTGCTCTATTGGATTGAGATCTGGTGACTGTGCAGGCCATTTGAGTACAGTGAACTCATTGTCATGTTTAAGAAAACAGTCTGAGATGATTTGTGCTTACATGGTGCATTATCCTGCAGAAAGTAGCCTTTAGAAAATGGGTACACTGTGGTCATAAAGGGATGAACATGGTCAGCAACAACACTCAGGTAGGCTGTGGCGTTGACACGATGCTCAATTGGTACTAATGGGCCCAAAGTGTGCCAAGAAAATATCGCCCACACCATTACACCACCACCACCAGCCTGACCTGTTGATACAAGGCAGGATGGATCCATGCTTTCATGTTGTTGATGCCAAATTCTGACCCGACCATCCAAATGTGGCAGCAGAAATCGAGACTCATCAGAGCAGGCAACGTTTCTCCAATCTTCTAGTGTCCAATGTTGGTGAGCTTGTGTGAATTGTAGCCTCAGTTTCCTGTTCTTAGCTGACAGGAGCGGCACCTGGTGTGGTCTTCTGCTGCTGTAGCCCATCCGCCTCAAGGTTGGACGTGTTGTGTGTTCAGAGATGCTCTTCTGCCGACCTCAGTTGTAACGAGTGCTTATTTGAGTTACTGTTGCCTTTTTATCAGCTGGAACCAGTCTGGCCATTCTCCTCTGGCATCAACAAGGCATTTGCACCCACAGAACTGCCGCTCACTGGATATTTTCTCTTTTTCAGACCATTCTCTGTAAACCCTAGAGATGTTTGTGTGTGAAAATCCCAGCAGATCAGTAGATTCGGAAATACTCAGACCAGCCTGTCTGGCACCAACAACCAGTGTTCAAAGTCTCTTAAATCCCATTTCTTCCCCATTCTGATGCTCGGTTTGAACTGCAGCAGATCGTCTTGATCATGTCTACATGCCTAAATGCATTGAGTTGCTGCCATGTGATTGGCTGATTGGAAATCTGCATTAACGAGCAGTTGGACAGGTGTACCTAATAAAGTGGGGGTCAAGTTTTTCGTTCATTAATTTATTAATCAAACTGGTTATATTGTTCATACACTGTTTTGAGGGATATTGAGTGGTGCTCAAAATTGTGATATTAAATAAAGGTTTGCATTCCAGCACTTATTAAGGTATGACCATGAAAGAGAAGGTGCAAGCAAGTGTATTTTAAAAATACAAACTATGCATAGTTTTACAGACACTGCCTGTTTAACACGAAATATGTTTTGTGAACACTTATGCTGTCTCTTGGTGCTCTAGATAGAACCACTGAATCAATATTTTTGGCGCAAACATGCATTCAAAATGGTGTGAACTAAATGGAAAAACAAAAATGATCCATGTTGTAGTTTTTGCTCACCAATATTTCATAATTGGATTTCTTAGTACCATGAAAATGTGACAAGAATCCTTGAGTGCATAAGAAATATCAAAAGTAAGACCTGCATTTAGCCTTCATCTGGTCATGCAGACACTCAGATAGCAAATAACTCAAGCAATACGCTGTCTTGTTGGACTAGATGCAGTTCTATTTATATCTGTGGAGCTGTGAGGGATCATGCTGTTCGCTACCAGTAGAGAAGGATTGGTGTTCGCAATATAGATTTATTTAAGGACAAGACCAAGACCAGCTTCTGCAAAATGATTCTTGACCAAAAATGCTGACGTCTTAAAAAACAGGTCATATATGCGTTTTCATAAAATAACGCAAGTAATGTAACGTGGCATTAATAATGTCAAAGTGTTTCTGCAGAATGTTTTTATCAACTGTGATTTTAAAAAATAAAGATGCAGTATGCAAGTTTGACATCCAGTGGTTGAACTAGGTATTGCACACCTAGTTCGAAGCACACGCAAGCGCAGGTTGCCAGATTAACGATATCAACAGAAGTGTGCCTATCTATCAAGCCTAAAGGCTGATTTGATCCACGTTCTAAATAAAAGAAACACCACACTATAGAAGGAATATTTTCTATATTAAAAAAAAAAGCTTTTGTCCTAACCAACACCTGAAATGTATATTTTAGAAACGGCTTCTGTTTCTTGCAGCTGAAGAACAGGATAAACTGACAAAGATCACCTCAGGCATGCATCATGTGCTTTATTCAGAGTAAATGCTAATAATGTGAGTTTGAGTGCCATTTTACATGACATTTATTGACATATACTGAAAGCAGAGGCAGACAGTTCACCTCAGATCTAGAAAATAAAATCATTTAAAATCGAATTTTAGAACTGTGACTCAGTGCAAGCCAACATTAGTGATTCAGCAGGTAACGTTTCATTTAATAATGTTAAAGTGATTTAATATGTATTAATTAAGTTATAAACCTTACCATCGTCATTGGAGTGCAGTGAGAGCACTATTCTGTGCTTCTGAATGGCTGTATTTAAATTTGCGTCTGGTGTAAACAGCCAAATTGCTTATCATTGCGTATCTCAATTCAATTCAATTCAGCTTTATTTGTATAGCGCTTTTAAAATGTAGATTGTGTCAAAGCAGCTTCACATAAATGGTCATAGTAACTGGATCAGGGTTGTTCAGTTTTTAGTGTTTAAGTTCAGTTCAGTTCAGTTTAGCTCAGTTCAGTGTGATTTAATCATTACTGAGAGTTCAAACACTGAAGAGCAAATTCATCGATGTGCAGCTCTACAGATCCTGAACCATGCAAGCCGGTGGCGACAGCGGAGAGGGAAAAAAAACTTCACCAATAGGAGAGTGAAGAAAAAAAACCTTGAGAAACCAGACTCAGTTGGGCACGACCATTTTAATTTCTCCGCTGGCCAAAAGTCTTGTGTAGAGCTGCAGTCTCAGCGGTGGAGGCTGGAAGCTGGCCTCAGTGAAGACTCGTCTGTCCCTGGAGCGTCACTGGGATCAGTCTCATGTTCTCCACTCCTCCATGACCACCACCGCAGCAGCTCAGGATATCGCCTGGTCCCGGATATGGACACCTTGGGATCATCTCGTCGCTGGTCTTGTCACGTAGTGTGTTGTTATGACACAGGGTTACAACGTAATCTGCTCACCTGATGTTTACGCTTGTAATATTTATATTATTTGTTAATTAATAACCTCAAGTGAAACTCTGAATCTGGGTCTCATTTCGGAGGCTGCTACTGTCCACCAGAGGTCGCATTTCAGTCTCGATTACATGCTTTAAGAACATTCCTGACTAAATGTATGAAATTTTCCACTAAGACAACCCAGGGTGCTGAAATATATTTGGCTAAAGTGGCAGTGGCCGGAATAAAAGAACCAAAACAAAGACAGACGTTCCGGCACATAATGCATGTTTTCAAAGCAGAATATCTGACTTCAGCATTGTTTTTTAGATAAACAAGAAAGTTCACTTAGCATGTTTCTTAAATACCTGCAAACATATTAGGGTATTTTTTCCACTTTACTTTTACTTACTTTTACTTTTCGACAACCTACATACAGCACCTCTAATTAGCTTCAACCATTAGAAGTTGGTTATATTCACAGACTGTTTTAAATGTGTTTAAACCCATTATAAAAATGATTTTTGCATAATAGATCTCCTTTAAGCCCTGAATTGTTCAAACGAGCTGTCTCAAAATCAAAATGATTCCAATATTAAATGCATGTTCTAAGTAAATTACAATGTTTTTGTAATTTACTTAGATGCAGATGACGCGTTTATAATCATAAGCACAAAAAGATTTTTCAAATGGAAACCCACCTGTCCATGCAGAATGAGAGAGATAAACCTGAGTGATCAGTCGCACACGGCCTGGTCCTGGAGTCCTGAAATCTCCAGGTTTGGGGTGGATTATGTGAGACTGTCCATCTGGATACAGCACCTGTGACACGACCAAGAACAAGTTTGAATAATGTTGATGAATGGTACCTGTAACTACACTGATTCGTAGTGGTAAAGTACTCCTGCAATGTGTTAGTTTTGACTTATACAGTTCTGTGGAATAATAGATTCTGATTGGTCAGTCATGACTTAACAAGTTATGTTTTTAATTAATCTATCCATCCATCCATCCGTCATATCTTTACATCTGTCTGTCTGTCCATCTATCCATCCATCCATTCATCCATCCATCCATCTATCTATCCGTGCATCCATCCATTATATCTTTACATCTGTCTGTCTGTCTGTCTATCCGTCCATCCATCCATCCATCCATCCATCCATCTCTATCTACCCATCCGTCCGTGCATCCATCCATCCATCCATCATATCTATCTATCTATCTATCTATCTATCTATCTATCTATCTATCTATCTATCTATCTATCTATCTATCTATCTATCTATCTATCTATCTATCTATCTATCTATCTATCTATCTATCTATCTATCTATCTATCTATCTATCTGCTGAGCCTATTAATATACAGTTGTGTTTTAATGTCAATGTTCAAAAAGAAGAGGTTAAAGACTCTGACCTGCACTTTGACTGTTGTCTGTGGGTCTTGCACATGTTCAAGAGTAGCGTCAATATCTAACGCCACCACCAGACCTGAGGTGAATCTCAGAGGATTGTCAGATTCTCCCGTCGGCTCGATAATAGTCGCTGAAGCCCTGTGGATCTGACAAATAAAATGCATAATTCAATAAACCTTTGCAAACAACAGAGTTCCCACTCTAAGCAAAATGTCAAATTTGCAGACTTTTCCCTGTTTGCCACTGACTAAAAAGCTGACTTTCCATGACCTATCCACCTTATTTTTCACTAAAAGTCTCCATTAAACAAAAATTGTCCTTTTTTCTGTTTTCATGACCTACATCCACTTGAAATAGTCCCGAAATGAGAAAAATGTCAATGAATGAATGAATGAATGAATGAATGACATTTCATTTTTTGAGAACAGACCGGTGTTGCTAAAAAAATGAAGATTGAAGAATAGATGATAGCTCCACACTAAAGGCCTGATAGCCACACCATAAAGGATCGGTAGCTCCACCTCAAAGGACTGATAGCCCCACCCCAAAGGACTAATAGCCCAGCCCTAAAGGTCTGATATCTCCAACCCAAAGAACTGATAGCCCCGCCCTAAATGAATGACAGCTCCATCCTAAAGGACTGATAGCCCCACCCCAAAGGACTAATAGCCCAGCCCTAAAGGTCTGATATCTCCACCCCAAAGAACTGATAGCCCCACCACAAATGAATGACAGCTCTACCCCAAATGAATAATAGCTCCACCCCAAAGAACTGATAGCCCCACCCCAAATTAATGATAGCTCCACCCCAAATGAATGATAGCTCCACCCCAAAGAACTGATAGCCCCACCCCAAATGAATGATAGCTCCACCCCAAATGAATGATAGCTCCACCCCAAAGAACTGATAGCCCCACCCTAAATGAATGATAGTTCCATCTTAAAGGACTGATAGCTCCACCCCAAAGGACTGATAGCCCTGCCCTAAATTAATGATAGCTCCCTTCCAAAGGACTGATAGCCCTGCCCCAAAGGACTGATAGCTCCTCCCTAATGGACTGATAGCCCCGCCTTAAATGAATGATAGCTCCACCCTAAAGGACTGATAGCTCCACCCAAAGAACTGATAGCTCCACCCAAAGAACTGATAGCCCCACCCCAAATTAATGATAGCTCCACCCCAAAGAACTGATAGCTCCACCCCAAAGAACTGATAGCCCCACCCCAAATGAATGATAGCTCCATCCTAAAGGACTGATAGCTCCACCCCAAAGAACTGATAGCCCCACCGTAAATGAATGATAGCTCCATCTTAAAGGACTGATAGCCTCTCCCTAAAGGTCCACTATCTCAGCTCCAAAGGACTGATAGCCCTGCCCCAAAGGACTGATAGCTCCTCCCTAAAAAATGATGGCTCCTCCCTAACGGACTTATAGTCCCACCCTAAAGGAATGATAGCTCCTACCTAAAGGCTGATTTATACTTCTGAGTCAAGCGCTCGCATATGCTATGGTGCAGCCTATGTGTGGACGCATAGCCCATGCCGTGGCCGTCAGTGTCACTGACGCACACCTCTCAAAAAATGTAACTACACGTCGTAAAGGCACATAGTGTAAGCTCTGTAATTGGTCGGCTTGGTAGCGCTGACGAGTGTGGCTGGGACCGAGAGACACGCAAGCCCGATGGAGCGACTGTTTACAAGTGTCAAGTCCCGTGAAGGAGCTCCAGAATGATGGCTCCTCCCTAATGGACTGATAACCCCACCCTAAAGGAATGATAGTTCCGCCCTAAACGAATATTATTTACTGTCATCATGACAAAGATAAAAGAAATCAGTTATTAGAAGTAAGTTATTAAATCTATTATGTTGAAAAATGTGTTGAAAAAAAAAAATCTCTCCGTTAAGCAGAAATTGGGAAAAGAAATATACAGAGGGGCTAATAATTCAGATTTCAACTGTATGTGGTATAAATGAATTATGTATATATTATAGCAGAGTACAATATAGTTTAAATGTGACATGCCTATAAACAATATCTCTCCGTATTTGTTTTTTCTCTTTGCATTGTTAAAATTGTGTATTAAACCAAATGAAAATGAAAGTTACACAGCTATTTTTCCTGCTGAATCTCTGAAGCTGAATGTACCTGCTCAGGTAGTTTGAGATGGATGCATCTGCTCTGCCGCAGTGTGGTTTGAAGGATTTTGACCAGATCAAGAGGTTTGCAGGCTGTCAGCCGAGGCATCAACTCTAGAAGCTTCTCAACAAAACTGTCCTGAAAATGGGGCAACTCTGTCATGAAGAGCCTGAGGGGAAAAAAAACACGAAAACAGTTGGAGATTTTCCACATATAATCACAACATTTATACAGCATAAACAGTGCAATACCTCTGAAATGATTCCACGTCTTGCAGGAACTTCTCACAAACACCAAGAACTCGATCGACTCTGTTATGTGGAAGAGTAAAAATGATCAGTTTTACAAATCTTGACATTTTTTGTCAGATTTGGAATTTTTGCCAATATCTGATAAGCCAATGCACTTTTTATTTTAACCCCTGCTGGCCAATAGCTGATGCTAATATCTTGCTTCTGAATTTTTGTGTTAATATACAAGTGTCAGATTTATTAGCCCATTATTAAGTCCAATTATTTACTCAAGTAAATGTTTGTGCAAATATATATTTATTCAGTTTTTAATATGAATTTCAGTAGTTATTGAATGTTTATATGATTTATGTAGAATAGTTTCTGTATTTTCATAGCTATAGTATACAAGTTACTTTGTTTAACAAACAAGTGGTTCTAATTGTATTTGCATGGTAAATCATAAATAAAAGTTAAAAATTACTTTCGTGCATGTTTTCAGCTCTTCTACTCTCAAGTAAAGTGATAAAGATGATCAGTTTTACATATCTTGAGATCTTATTTTGTCAGAAGTAGGGATGATTTTGGATCTGATAAGACAATGCACTTTTTTAACCCTTGCTGGCCAACAGCTAACACATCTTTTTTGCTTCTGAATTTTAATGTTAATATACAAGTCACAATTTTTTACCCATTAGGGAGTATTTTTACTTATGTAAATGTGTGTAAATATATTTTTATTCAGATTTTTTTTACTAATTGTAATTTATATATAAATATATAAAAAATATACATATATATATATATATATATATATATATATATATATATATATATATATATATATATATATATATATATATATATATTGTATATATATAATATACATATATATATAATATATTATATATAATATATATAGAATATTTCTTTGGTTTTTCTAGATGATTTTTATGTGCAATAAACCATAAACCATCAAAAGTTGGTTGTTTGATGAGGATAATTAGTTTGCATGGTGTACGAGGATCTTTTATTTAATATATTATTTGAGTGTAAATAGGGTTGCGGCTGGAAGGCCATTAGCTGTGTGGAACATATGCTGGATAAGTTGACTGTTCATACCGCTGTGACGACTGTTTGTTTTATGCATCATTGGTATTTCGAAGCCATACATTGTTTTATTTAACAGAGGACCACAATGGAAATAAGCCCAGGGCTTTATTGTGTTTTTATCCTCGACAGTTTTTATTACAACGTGTATGGGATGCTTTTTGTACAGCATGTCTGAAATCTGTCAAATAAAATTCAATTCAACTCAACCATAATAAACCATCTAGATGCATTGCTCATACACCATCCAACTCCAGAAGTGTTTGTTTTGTTTACTTTATTTTCCACTTATTTAATTGCCCTTGTGCTAATTTGCATGTGTGTGTGTGTGTGTGTGTGTGTGTGTGTGTGTGTGTGTGTGTGTGTGTGTGTATGTAACTTGAGCTCCCAAAAATCCTTGTGTGTTTGTTTGATTTTTTTCAGTAATATTATTAAATAATATGCAAATGTTTATATGATTTATGCTTCATAGTTTCTGTCTTTTCGTAGATATACTACAAGACTGCCTTTGTTCACCAAACAAGTGGTTCTAATTGTAAACCTTAAATAAAAGTTTTAAATAATTTTTTATTATTTGATGTGTTATATTTTCAGCTCCTATACTCCACATAGTCGACAGATTCTGTCAGAACCATAAGCTATAGATTCTAACCATTAGATCAAATCACTCTTACTGGCATAATTTTTCTTTTTATTTATGTTTATTTGTATAAATGGTACACATAAATATATGTTTATTTTTTTTACGTTTGTTTAATGTGTTAATACTGTATTGCGGTGACTATTATTACGTGTTGCATGATGTGATTGCATTAGTTACGTTATTATTATTATTTTTATATATGTGTGTTATGTTTAATTGCTTTTTTATGTAGGTACCCGATCAAAATCGAGAACTGAAAGTTGCTGACACTTTAATTTCAGTATGTTGATGTATTTCCAGCAGAAATAGGATATTGAGTACTGGGCTGGGCTTTCTTTTGCACATCTTCATTCCACCCTAAAAGCAAACTAACGGTAAGAGAGGTTATTAATATGCAGTTGCTATGGAAGCCCTCAGGTTGACGTCAAAAGAAGGACCTGGAAGCAAATGTTCAGACTTTGACTTTCATGACTTTGATTAAAGATTACAAAAACAATTTCTTTCAGTGGATTAATGTGCACAGATTAATTATTTACCTTAAGAATAACAAAGTGAGCTAGCTAATTAACATTGTGCATTTTGATTTCAAGTGGACTTTAAATAATACAATTTGTAGCATTTTTCATATCAGGCTGATATCAATACATTTGAGATTTACACATGAATCAATTATCGGCCGACTGATTGAGAGTTACAATAATTCTATGCATCTCTTGTCATAATAAATGACAATTTAAAATATTTTAGAATAAGTGACACGCTGGCTCAGTGGTTAGCACTGTCGCCTCACAGCAAGAAGGTCACTGGTTTGAGTCCCGGCTGGCTCAGTTTGCATTTCTGTGTGGAGTTTGCATGTTCTCCCCATGTTTGCATGGGTTTCCCCTACAGTCCAAACACATGCGCTACAGGGGAATTGAATAAACAAAATTGGCCGTAGAGTATGTTTTCCAGTACTGGGTTGCAGCTGGAAGGGCATCCGCTGTGTAAATCATATCCTGGATAAGTTGGCGGTTCATTCCGCTGTGGCGACCTCTGATGAATAAATGGACTAAGCTGAAGGAAAATGATTAATATATGTAAAATAAGTTCTGACCCTCGTTTGGATCGAGCCGTCAGGATGAGCTGTAGCGCTTTTGCTTGCAGCCGGACGTTGTGAATGGTGGCGATCTGCTGCGTCTCTAGACCGCTGTACAGGAACTCCAGCTTATAGGTCTCATCCAGGATCTGTCGTACACCACAATTCAATTCTTAACAATGATGCACCGGTAGACAATTATTTGGTGTGTGTGCTTAAAGGAGACCTATTATACCCCTTCTGACAAGATGTCGAATAAGTCTGTGATGTCCATCCATAGAGTGTGTATGTGAAGTTTCCTAATTTAATCCTTTAATCCTAATTGTGGCGTTTTGGTGACTGTCGCTTTAAATTTAAATGAGATTGTGCTCTTTACAAAAGAGGGCGAAGCTACAAATGACTGTGCATCAGCATAGTAACAAATTAAAAAACAAGACTAACGTACTATGCTAATGAGGGAGAGAGGGTCCCTAGTGGGCGGGGCTTTCCCCCTCTGATAACATGTACAAAGGGAGAATGTCCATCGAAGTGTTTCTGCAGACTGTTTACATCAAGTGTAATTAAAATAAAATTAAATTAACACATTTTTATCATTAAAGGTGGTTATATTCACACATATTGTTGCATAAAAGGTCCCCTTTTAAATTAATTTCTGTAGGACAAACCTGTCGAGTGGCTGTTGAAACTTTGGCGTTCTGTTTCAGACAGAGAGGAACAGCCATGGTCCATAACTTCTCCTGAAGAGCCTGGGATTGAACAAAATGGACAAAAAATGATGTATAGTCAACTTATGCTCACAATGAATGCATTTATATGACCAAAAATACAGCTTTAAATTGTGAAATGGTATTATCATGTCAAAATTACAGCAAGAAGGTCGCTGGATCGAGTCCCGGCTGGGTCAGTTGGAATTTCTATGAGGAGTTTGCATGTTCTCCCTTTGTTAGTGTGGGTTTCCTACAGTATGTGCCATAGGTGAATTGAATAAACTAAATTGGCCATAGTGTATGAGTGTATGTGTGAATGTGAGTGTGTGTATGAATGTTTCCCAGTACTGGGTTGCAGCTGGAAGGGCATCCGCTGTGTAAAACATATGCTGGATAAGTTGGTGGTTCAGTCCACTGTGGCGACCTCTGATGAATAAAGGGACTAAGCCGAAGGAAAATTAATGAATGAATATTTAGTGATTTATCATTATTATGCAAAGCTGCATTTCCAGGATCATTTCTACAGTCTTCAGTGCCACAAGGTCATTCAAAAATATGATTTTAACCATTTTTAATATTGTGGAGCTTATTAGTTTTGTTTTGGTTTTTAAAGTAATACTTTTATTTAAAAGGGCTACAATAACTTAATCTGAAATTAGTTCTGACATATGATTCACATTTCAAACAGCAGTAATATTGTGAAATACTCTTAGACGTTAAAGGGGAGTTTTTTAAGTATTTAAAAATGTAACTGAATTGATGTACTGGATTTAATGCACAGGTGTCAAAGCCAGTTCCTGGAGGGCCGCAGCTCTGCACAGTTTAGTTTCAACCCTAATTAAACAAACCTGATCAAACTAAATGAGTCCTACAGGCTTGCTTAAACCTACAGGTAAGTGTGTTGAAGCAGAGTTGGAAGTAAACATAGCAGAGCTGCGGCCCTCCAGGATCTGGCTTTGACACCTGTGATGTAATGGAACTTTTTTGTAATTTATTATCACCATAATTTAACCTTGTTATATAAACTACAGAACTATGCATGCAATTATAGTTGTGTTAATACAGGGTATCTGCAGTTTCTAAGAGTTATATTTAAGACTTTTTAAGACCTTATTAATACCACAAAAAAAAAATGTAAGACCAATTCATGGCACTAAATTTGCATAAAAAACAACAAATAATTACCATCCTTATTAATCTTCATTGTATACTGTGCTGCTGTAAACCAGAATAGGCTGGCTAAAATTGGCCAGATGAGGTTCACCTGTCATGCCAAATATCATCCAATTCCAGTCCTGGGCTGATCAGTTTGTGCATATCTGATAATGTACAGGTTGAGCAGAGGTCATAAGCTAATAAAGAGCGAAAGCCCAGTGAACTAAAAATCTTCATTACGGGGTCAGATCGATTGCATTTTTTTAGCCCTCTGAAACGCAGATTTAACAGGATATATGCAGCAATCCGAAAGATAATCAGCCTGAACCAATTAAATTGATTTAGCACGCCGCAGTTAATATTAACTCAAACCTTTTGAGGAAACCGATTGCAACAAACCATTTAACTAATTCTAATGAGTACTGTGAACTTAATCCATTTGATTAAACAAAGCAATTTGAGCATAGAAAAACCCAATAAATGAAGAGAACTCAACTTACATGGCTTTACAGTTCTCAGTTGGTTTAAGGCAAACCGAGGACATTCAAGTTTTGAGGAAACCAATTGCTGCAAACCATTTGAGTTAAAAACTAAATGGACAAATGAGTCCTGTCAACTGACTCTATTTAAGTTAAGGTAATGAGGTATTTAATTAAATCATTACCTTCAACACTTAACAGTTCAAAATTCAAATAAGTAAAACTTTAACTTTAATTTACTTTCAGTCAATTTTGGGTTAACTACACTCATTTCATTTGATAAAGTTGACTGTTGGGTTTTACAGAGTATTTATGCTTTTTTTGGAGTCAAACTAAATTTAAGACCTCGTAAAACCTGATTAAGACTTTTTAGTACCTTTTAAGGGCCTTCATTTTCTCATAATTGATTTATCAATTTTTAAAACTTTTAAAGATTTTTTTAAAGACTAATTAAGGCCTTTTTTATACTATGGAATTTAAATCTTCTTAAGGATGCATGGACACCCTGTTATAATCATAGTCATGTTATGCTATGCTATGTTATATTTAGCTTAGAACACAGTAGTAGTACTAATGCAGTATTAGATTCTGTGTAGTGTAGTATGCTTGTATTCACCTTAGTTAGCAGTAGTTGGCAGCGCAGGTATGTGGCACAGAAATCTGCAGATCCAGCCAACTCAGTCTGCAGCTCTCCCAGCCGCAGCAGATCTCTGCATAAGTAAAAAAATTCATCTTAACATATACTTTATTAAATTTGGATTCAGTACGATTTTTTAATGTTTTTGAAGGAAAGCTATTCTGCTGACCATCAATTTGAACAAAAAAACACAACAAAATATTAAATATTGCAATTTTTTTTTAAGATTTATTTTTGGCCTTTATTAGTGCATAGGACAGTATTTCAGACAGGAAGCAAAGTGGGAAAGAGAGAGGGGGTAGGAACAGGAAATGTCCTCGAGCCAGGATTTAAACTCGGGACGCCCTGAAGTGCTACTGCACCATATGTCAGTTTGCTAACCACTAGACTATTACACCGACAAATATTGCAATTTTAAAAAATACCTGATAGTAAACTCCAGCAGATCCTGAGCACCAGGTGTTTCTAGGTTTTGTAGAGCGCTGACCCGGACCAGGCTGTCCTGGAGGAAGTTCTTTGCCGACTCCAGACTGCCTGAACCCACACCAGACGCCTCCACACCTGAACTAGCCGTCTGCTTTCTGCCCGGCAGCTGACAGAGAGAGAGACAGCAAAGACATGGAAGATCATTCTAGAAATGATGAATTTATTCAATAATTGCTTCATATTGTTGTGGAATCATTGATGAAGTTAAGAACTCTTTTAATGAATAACTTGTAACATTATAAATCTTTTTTTTGATCAATTTGATGCATAATTGAAGAACAAAAAAATCTTTCTGAGGCCAGACTTATGAACATGAGAGCATATTATTCGTATATAAAAATAAAAGCTGTATGTAAGGTATGTTTCTCACCCTGAGGTGTGGTACGAGGTGGGATAAGCTGTCCCGCAAGTAGGCGTAGTGCCGAAACGTGTGATCTGAGAACAGGGCAGGCATCGTGGGGCAGGATTGGGCTGCGTTGAAGACCAGAACTAAAACAGCGATGTCTGAATAAACCCAGATAAGGAAAATTAACATATAAATATCAAAATCACATTTATTTATTTATTATTTTTATCTCATCTATATTAGATGTTTGAAATAATCTAAATAAATATTATAAACTATAAATATTCCAAAAAAAAATATTCAATGCAAATGCACTGAATGCATAAATTGTCACTTATTAAAGGTGTCTTATTATGTTTAAGATGCAAGTTCTTTCATATCGAAATACCTAATTTATCATTTATTGTGCTATAAATGTATGCAAATGCTTTTGGGTGGAAGGAAAAATAATATTTTTCAGTCTCTTTAAATGCAAATGACCTGCTTTTGATCCCCACCCCCTTCCAAAAGAAGGCGGAGTCTTTTACATAATTTACATAATGCTGATTATGTGCGTGAATGTAAACAGGTGGGGAAAAATAATCAGTATCAGTATAATAGATCTGTGCAACAGTGTGGACAACACACTACTAACACAATCTATGCAATCAACCTCCAACCCCTTGACCATTAATTATTTAATTATTATTTGAAAAAAAAAAATTAAAAGAGGACTAATAATTCTGACCTGACTATGTATATGTGATAATCTTTTTATATCTTTAAATTTAAAAGTGAACTTTGTATTTTGTACTTTCTAATCTTATACAGGGCTTTTGTTACGGTCATCTTATTTGACCGTTTTGGTCGCATATGCGTTCGAAATTTTATCTATGCGACCTCAAAATATATTTGGGTGCATTAGTGCGAGTGTATAAAATTGTTGTCATGCGACCGGTTTTTACAGCAAAATGTTCACCACATTTGCGGAATTAGGAGACATTCACACATTAAGCATCTTTGCACCTAAAACACCAAACGCAGCGCTCAGGAATGGTTTAAAATTGTTGACATGTCAACTTGCTGCAGTAAGCAAACCCCGCAATGCTTGCCCCACCTTCAAGCTCTTCTTATTGGCCCTCTGCACTACAACAGAACGCTAATGGATTGGTTAATATCAGCTGTCAATCACTCAGTTCCTATGACAGGGAGCTACAGCTGCGAAAATGTAAAGGTCTGGATACGAGAGAATGAAAACAACACTGACAGATTTAGCTTTAGAAACCACCTAAAATTACAAATAATCTGATCAGTGATCATGTAATGAACGTCAATCCAGCATTTACACTTTTCGAAGAGTGGGTAAAAGACTTCCAGTGTTTAAAGTCCGCTATGAAAAGGACTAAAGCATTCACTGTAAAGCTGGTGGGATGGAGTTTTCAGGTAACAGTGTTTGCCGCTGAATCTATACATTTTAAGCACAAGATGTTCTAACGTTATTTAATCCTTCATTTAATCGTCAAGATGCTGCCAGTCGTGCGACTGACACCGCGTTCACCATTGCTAAAAAGCATGCATTCACTGAGATGAAACTAATATTGAAGCTCATGAAAAGATTGTTACTGCTATTAAGATGACGTATGCAAATAATAAGTTTTATGCCAATATCATCTCAATATCAGACAGCACCCGTGAGAACAGCACAGTTACTATTGTTAATTCAGTTCATCTCATTCACGTCAAGCAGTGTGTGCAGGGCCGATGAGCGCATGCAGATCTTTATTTATTTGTTAGTTGTGATTAGAGTGTTAATATATAATAGAATCCGCTAATATAAAACATGTAGTAACGGTGCTCATTATTTTTGATGGGTGCGACTAAATTTTGTCTTGTGCACCTACATTTTTGAAGTTAGAAGCACCAGTGCTACTAAGAAAATTTTTTAAATTTTGAGCCCTGTTATATTATGTGATTCTGCATCAGATTTCAGTTCTGTTATGTGAACCACTTATAACAGGAAATCTGACAAAATTCCACACTTTAATTATAAACACTTAAGGTAATGCACAGGATACAGGCAGGGTCGTCCATGTCCGGCTCTGGAGTGTCGAAATATGGATGTGTGCTCAGTAGCTCTGGGACAATCGGCAGCACCAGGGTCGGGTGTCGAGCACCCAGAAACTTCAGACATCTAGGATGAAGACAGAAAAACAAATAAACCACAAACACTGAGAATGAGCCTGGATGAATGAGGATATACAGGAGGAGCCACTGAAACTGACTTCCAGACGGAGTTGCGGTCGGTGGGGTATTTGCTGAGGTTCTTCAGGAGCTCCAGGAGGGCCAGCTGGATGCATTCTTTAGTGGACACATTGGTGTAGCACAGCAGCTCGTGCAGAGCCTCGCGAATGTCCCGAGACGAGTCCTGAAATTAATTCATATCCTAATATTAGGCAGGGTATGAGGGAAATCAAGTCTAATTGTGATTTTCCTAATTAAAAATTAGCTTGCTGTCCATATATTTTAGAAAACGGGCTGGCCATGCCTGCACAACAAAAAAAGAAAGGTTTTATTTAAATATGGCTTAATATGACTTTTTATTATTTTCCAATAGGATTACTGCTATTATTACTAACTAAACAATCAAAATTATACATTATTGGAACTACCCAGCAAAAAGCTTGTCGCCTATCCAAGTTTTAGGAACAACAAATAATAACTTGACTTCTAGTCGATCATTTGGTATCAGAAGTGGCTTATATGAAAAGCAAAGGCCTCTAGATCAGTGGTTCTCAACTGGTTTGGCTATGGGACCCACATTAATGGTCATCAAGCCGCGACCCAAAACTTTAGGAACTATAATATAGTTTTAGGAATTATAATTAAATTGTATTTATTTGTTAACATTCACAAGTACTGACAGATAAATCATAAGAAAATCACCAAGACTTACAAATAAACAATATTTTATTGCTGTAATTAACGAAATATATGAAGTTAAAGAAATATTACAAAGTAAAAACGACAAAGAAAAACCATTAACTAAACTGAACTGTTAATAAAACTTTATCACTGATCCTGATGAACAGAAAAAAAACAGCAAATTAAAGCTCTTCTGCTTTTGTGTGGGCTTTCTTGGCCTTTGCTACACATTAAGCACAGTAAGATGGCAGAATGCCAGTTCTTGTTTTTAACATGAAGATGTTAGACACTTTTGTGATGCCCTCAGCTATTGGAGTCATCTTTGAAAACAGTCCACAGGTTTGTCCTTTCAAATGGGATTTTTGGTTTCTAAATGTCGTTTTAATTCAGAAGGTTTCATGCTCTCTTGTGAGAGCACCTGACTACATATAACACACTGAGGTTTTTAATTATGTTGCTATAACTAAATGACATTTCACATGTCAAAAGGTACGGTTGTCGCACGCACATTTCAAAATAAAAGTCTGATATATGCAAATTAAGTTAAAAATGAAACTTTTGTTGTTTTTTTGGCCAACATTCCGCGACCCACTGAAAATGTTCTTGCCACGACCCACTAGTTAAGGAACACTGCTCTAGATTACGCTTATTTTACCAAAATAAAATGATCAATGACAAGACTTCTGTTTATAATAATTTTATATTCTATGTAAAATACAGTCATTTATAATGATAGAGATAAAAATAATAATAATAATAATAATAATAATGACTATTATTATTAAAAGAAAATAAAATTTTCATTCATTCATTCATCTTCTGCCGCTTTTCCGGGGCCGGGTCGCGAGGGTAAAAAAAATCCTTATTAAAAATACTATATTTGATCACATCAACTACAGTACCATTGTTTAACTATAAGTTACATACAAGTTTACATTTATAACAGGATTGATTTTCGAATGTGGAGGTTGTACACTTCCCAACAAAGAGCACAAATGATGATTTAATTCATTTTAATTACTAAATTGCCTTTGGCTTTTTTGTTGCATTGATCAAACTGTTTTTGCATTAGCATGGACCAAATCATCTTGTTTTATTTATTTATTTCTGGACGAAGTACCTCGAGTACTGCGAGGACAGTATCCAGCTGGTCTTCTCTGAGGGTAATGTGAGTGGAGATCTGCCGCAACACATGGATGGACTGCAGTCGCACCTCCTCGATTTCATCATTAAACATGTCCACCAGAAAGTCCAGACACTTCTCTGCGAAGCTTCGTGATGACTGGGCTAAAGAACACAAGGCCTCGACTGCAGCGATGCGCACCTCTGTGGAAAACAACAGCAAATTAATAAGTGTCATGAAACAAACCTTCATCAACAGTGTTGTTTTCAGGGGCTTAGAAAGGGGGTGTTTTTAGCTGAGATCAGGTGGGAGGGTTGAATGCGGATTGCATAAAAAAAAAAAAAGAAAAAAAAAATTCATTTTGCACACAAACACACACGTTCAGTACCAATTATAGCCATGAGCACAAAAGGAGTTTTAGGGAAGAGATTCCCAACCTTTTCAGCCCCCAACCCCTAAAATAACAAAGCCAGTTACTCAGGACCACCATTATACTCTAAGGTATTTATAAATATACAAACATTGCATGCAATATTAGCATGTTGTTTTTTTAATGCAATTATCTGACCATTAACTACCATTTTTTTTTATCTTCTGTAGGTTATAGATGAAACATTGTAATTCTAACAGTTAAATAAAGAGTTTTCGAAATCACCAAGAGATCCCTTATTGTCCCACAACTGCCTCTTAAATAAAATAAAATTAAAATTAAAATAAAATAAAATAAAATTAAATTAAAATTAATTAAAATTAAGTAATGTACAGTGTACATTTATCAACATTCGCTAAAAATATAAATGTACCCAAATTAGCCCAAAGACTAGTTTTCATTGGTGGTCGCTTTGCCAGACGTTTAAGGCCATATCAATACAAATTAGCATAGTGCAAAAAAACAAAAGTGGTCAATCAAATTGGCTGATTTTAAAATGCCTACCATACATCTCATCCTCCAGGCCATGAACAAAAGCCCCACAGGCTCCAGAGTCGATGAGGTTTACACCAGAAGTGTCGACCTTTTCTTTGGGAGCGTCGTCGGCCCACCGGCGTCCGGATGAAAATTCTCCAGAAGCGTACAGTTCTTTGGCTCGCTCATGAGCAGTGCGTTTCCTCTGAGATTTAATGAGAAAACTATTTTAAAGCATTTCTTTAATGCGTATTTTGTGCATGTTTGTCAGTGTGTAAATACCCTGAGATCAGACATCAGCTTCTTGTCCAGAGTTTGCTCCAGAAAGTGAGGGCTGACTTGGTGCATCGAGCCCTGAGGGAAAGTAGCATGAAAAAGTCAGCGGTGAACTACTGAATAAGAAACAGGGTTCCCGCTCTAAGCCAAATATAAAACGTCCTGATATTTCCCTGACTTTCAGTGACTCATAAAAGGGTAACTGCAGGTTACAATTTAAGACAATTATGCTATTGTAAAGGCAGAAATTCAATTATGCTATTGTAAAAACCAATGCTATAGTAAGGAAGAAATGAAAACCATATTGGTAAGTATGATTAATAAATAAACTTAAAAGTTTTATTGAGATGGATTGTTGGAGATTTACATGGATGTTGTCCTGATTTACCAGGACATTGGAAAATAAGGACCCATTTTAAGGCAGTTTCTCCAGAGTTTAGTGATTCTGCAGTTGCTGAATCTAGATGTAGAGCTTGTAATTATTTAAATGAAACTGCAGATTGTTCCTCAGATTATAGTCAGCCGGGAAACATTTAAAATTCCTGCCACACCTTCTGTATGGTTTCATAATAAATAACATTATACAGAAAGTGCTCATCTGCACAGGCAAAACACGTGAAACGCTGTGATAATAACACAGTAATTAAAGTTATATTAAAATTTATTAAAATAAAGTTTTTTAGATGTTAGTTTCAGTATATCGATTAGCTAGTGTGCTACAAAACAGTGACAAAATTCCTGTTTAGAAGATATAAGGCTGATATAAATATCCAAAGCTTGCAGTTTGTCATTTCCACTTAAATTAACCAACGGTTTTATTCACATTACCTCGATACTTCAGTTTCTAATCAATCTTGACCAATCAAATGCTCTCTAGTATCTGACATGCCCCACCTCCTCCTCATGTGCTTTTCATTTGATGCGCTTGAGCTCAATCACTCTCATTGGCAGAGTTGTGATAAATAAAATAAAAAAACGCTATTGGCTGTTCTTTAAAAAAGGGGAGTGGCTACACTGTGTCCCGCTCACTCATTATGTCAAACATTGAATTAAAAAAATGCACATTTCAAAGCACTTCACGAGAAATTAAAAAATATACTCAATAAATGGGAAGTAATCCTAGATATTTTATGATTTGTACAACAAAAATATAAATTTGTCTGACTTTAAAATGTCTGGAATAGACTTTTAAAAACTTCATGATATTCCAGAAACTCCATGACCTGTGGGAATTAAGATTATAGTTATGTTATGTACTAACCAGCAGTTTTGCAGCTTGCACTCTGACCACCCACGAGCCGTCGCTGACCATGTGACAGATCTTCCCGAAGGAGTCGTCCACCAGCCGGATCTCCTCATTGGAAGACGGGATGGGAACAATACTATGAATTCACAAAGACATATCAGTGTTCGAACCTTCATTCTAGAGCTTCTTTGATCTAAATAATCAAACAATATACAGACTTTAAAAACATTTCAGAAACACAATATTATTAGGGAAATGATTCCCTTAGAATTTCTTACCTGTGTCTTTTATATGTCTACTGAGGCTTTTCATCAAGTCTGGATTCCTTACTTAGACCTTATTGATGCTTCTTTAAGCTGCATTTTGAGTTATGGTATGTCATAATTAAATTTATGTGTTTTATTTTAATATTATTTTATCTCTTTATATCTGTATGTGTATTTATGTATAAATATACATATATATATATATATATATACATATATATATATATATACATAAATACATATATATGTATAGTAGTTTTATTATGCATATATGTACATATTCTATTTATTAATTAATTAATAATAATTATTATTATTTTTTAGATTATTATTTATTATTATTATTTTTAAATTATTTATTTATTATTTATTTATTTTTTTAATATTTAGTGTTGCATTGTTATAAATGGGCATTGTCTGTTGGTGTGTTTCAATGTGTTTTGTAATTAATAGTAAAATGTTAATAAAAAGATTAAAAAAAAATAAAAAAACATTTCAGAAACATTTTAGCAATATTTCCCACCTCTCGGGATAAAGCTGGCTCAGGACCCAAACCATCTGCACTGCTGCCGAACGAACCTGCTCATAATCATCACTCAAGAGCTTACAAGCCTGATCATAAGACAAGACATTCATAAATTAGAGATCAGACATGAGCTTAGTAATCCCACGAATAGAGCAATTCAAAATAAAAGCATGCATAACTGTTCAAAAGTCTGGAGTCAGCAAAACTGCATTAAACTGAAGCAACAGTAAAACTAAATATGTATGATATATTGTGTTTAATTAAACTATATTCATTAAATCATTCATAAAAACGTATAATGGTTTCCACAAAATAAAATGAGGCATCACAACTAATTGATAATTAATCAGCTAAACAGTATATTAGAATGATTATTGAAAGACCATGTGATGCTGAAGACTGGAGTGATGACACATTTGGACACCAAGTTTTTGATCAGTAGCGTAATGTAAGTGTATTTTGTCTTGACCTGGTTATAAATAGTCTGCTGAATTTTCATCCCTCTTTCATGTAGCTGCAGCTGATGGGAGAAAGAAATCCACTCAGTTAAAGTTAAAATAACAGTCCATAAATGCAGTTTTAATACAGAAATTGGTCCCACTTTGTATTAAGTGGTCTTAACTATTATGTACTTGCATTACAAATTAAATACAACGTACTTACTGTGTTCATAATGTATTGCAGAACAGTTCTGGTGGTCTTGGGGTGGGATATGGGTAAGGTTATGGACAGGTTTGTTGGTATGGGGAGGTTTAAGGGTGGGTTGACGTGTAAGGGATGTTCAACAGTGTATTTACACAATAAGTACAATGTAAGAACTGATTCATTTCAGCGCAAGTACATATTAGCTAAGGCCACTTAATATAAAAAAGGACCCAAAGCTTTTCTCCATAATATAGTTGATACTGTGGGGCATAATTTACTGATTGGGAAGAGGGAAGTTTTAGAGATTGGCCTCTCAGATATAAACTTCATCGGGGCCAATCCTGTCCATGTCTGCCAGACCAATGCACACAATTTGACCCACAATAACTGTCACCCCGCACATGACAATGACATGTTCGACTTAAAAGATTGCCAATCTTCAAGGCTTTGGTGCATAGTTTTAAGCTTGATTTCATTTTACAGAAGACAGATGTCAGATTGTAGCTGAAGTGAAAAAGTTTGAGGAAAAAAAAAACATTAGGTGCAATTGTTTATGTAAAAAACATAAAACAATAAAAGTATGTTTTATTATTTTGCACAAAAAATATATATATTTTTACAAAACCTCTTTTAGACTAAAATTTAAAAAAAAAAGGCTAAATATCTGAATAAATTATATTCCAAATTTAAAGTTGATATCTCAAAAAAAAAATTATTTGGCTGCAGTACCAGACATGACCACTAGATAACATCCAGCTTCCGTTGATGACCATAGAAGAGCGCCCCCTTTGTTTTGAGTAATGTGAACTGTACTTTTTCATACTTTTAACAATTTTTGTAATGTAGTATGGGACGTTTGGTGGCATTTGATTTGAATTTAGCCTCTAAAAACCATTAAAATCTTTCTACATGTTGATTGCTTTAGCTAAGTAATGCTTTACTACTCTGATGAATATCCTTGTTGCAAATTAATTAGTAACTGTTGCTCAGTAAGATCTATCAAAAAAAAAAAAACATCACCAGTTATGGAAAATAGAAGTTTGAAGCTTTTAAATTATATATAGTTTGTCATAATAGCTATTAGGTTTAGATTACAATATTATAGTTTAAAAACGTAACCATAAATGGTCCCACATGTTGAGTTTGATCCCTTGAATGTTGAGGGATTAAAGCAGTGCAAGAGGATGACATTGCAAAAATAACAAGCTAAAATTTTGTTTAAGGTATAAAAACATAGGAAACTATTTATTTTGCTTTCTCTCTGGCATTCTAAATCATAGAGCAGCTATATAGCTCTTCTAGTACCATGGCTTTGATGGCGGCGGTGCGAACACGAGGGTCCTGATCCTGAAAATAGTCGCTGATCAGACTCAGGACATCCCGTACAGCAGATGTTTGTGCTCCGGCTCCAGCTCCAGTGTCAGTCTCTTTACTGAGAGGCTTATCAACCGTCCCTAGACAGCCCAGCAGCTGGAGACACTTATTCCTCACCCCGAAATAAGTGCTCGACAGATGCTGAGGAACACAAACACTGAATGTAAGAAACATATTTCTAACTTTTAGCCTGTTTTAACATTGTAATAGCATGAATTAGCACGCTGCCCTCATGTTTCTAATATGATTTAGCATTGTGTTGCTTGCTAGCATAACATTTATAACATGTTTTAACATGGCTTACAGGTTTTAAGATGTTGCAAGTACTAATTATGACAGTGTATGTTTTAACATAATGAACTAACCCATTTTAATGTAAACATGCTGCTGCTGTGTTTTCCTGTTAACATTGCTTAAATGTTTTAACAATGTTAACAAAATGTTGGCATGACTGAGCATTTTTACTAACACGTTTTAATACTCAGTCAGTGTTAATAATTTTTGCGAACATGTTTCAAACATGCTTAACACATTGCAAGCATGAATGAACATGTTGCTAACATGTTTTAGCACAATTTTAAATGTTGTTAGCGCATATTAACATACTGCTGTTATGTTTGTAGCATGTTTTAACAGGTGGCTAATGCTTTAAATGTGTTGCTAACACAAACTCACTGATTTAAAATGTTAACATGATTTTAACACGCTATGCTATTATGTATTTAACTTTGATAACACATTGTATGGATAACAAAATTAAAATATTTTATAACATATTTCTGACATGTTTTTCTTACATTTTGCTAATTATATTTTAACAATGCATATGTAGATGGTTATATGCACTCACTGGCCACTTTATTTGGTACACCTGTCCAACTGCTCGTTAACGCACATTTCTAATCAGACAATCACATGGCAGCAACTCAATGCATTTAGGCATGTAGACATGGTCAAGACGATCTGCTGGAGTTTAAAATGAGCATCAGAATGGGGAAGAAAGGTGATTTAAGTGACTTTGAATGTGGCATGTTTGTTGTTGCCAGATAAGCTGCTCTAAGTATTTCAGAAACTGCTGATCTACTGGGATTTTCACGCACAACTATCTCTAGGGTTTACAGAGAATGGCCCAAAAGAGAGAAAATATCCAGTGAGCGGCAGTTTTGTGGGCGCAAATGCCTTGTTGATGGCAGAGGTCAGAGGACTGGCTGGAGCTGATAGAATGTCAACAGTAACTCAAATTCGCATCATGGATGTACAGCCGACAAATCTGCAGCAACAGGTGCTTGGACCAAAATCTCTGAGTAATATTTCCAGTGCCTTTGTTAAATCTATGCCATGAAGGATTAAGGCAGTTCTGAAGGTAAAAGGGATCCAACCCAGTACTAGTAAGTGTGCCTAATAAAGTGGCCGGTAAGTGTATATGGAAATATACAAATTCGGAAAAATTTCCAAAACACAAATAGAAAGCACTCAGAAAAAGAAGCTTAAATCGTAGAACAACTTTATAAATCCTGATTCTGTTTCATAGCAATATGAATAAAAATATTTAAAATGTTAAAGGTGTAGTTCAGCTCAAAATTTACTCAACCTTTTCTAGTTTAAAACGTAATAATCTATTTCTTACGCTAAACACAAAAGCGATATTTTGAACCATGCAAAAACCTGTAACCACTGACTTCCTTAGTATTTTATTTTCCATCTATGGAAGTCAATGGTTACAGGTTTTCAGTTTTTTCAAAACATCTTATTTAGTTTTAAACAGAATAAAGAAACTCGGAAAGGATTGAAACCCCTTGAGGAAGAGTCAATTTAAATTTTTGCGTGAACTATCCTTTTTAAAAAATCAGTATCAGCATTTGCATTTTGCAGTATATTAAGAATAAAAATCCTCTTAGTTATCGCATTCACCTTGCACGCTACATCTATGAGCCTCTGAATGACAGCAGTCTTGTCTGGGAGTTGAGTACCGATGATCAGCAAAGTGTCCAGAAGCTGCGCCAGAACCTGATGAGACTCTAAAACAGCACAAAAAAAAACTTTTTCACATATAATTAATGTTAACTAATCTATGCTTACTAGAGAAGCATAGTCTACATGCTTACATTATATTCAGGATTCAATATAAGATAAATGTATGAGACAAAAATTTACATGATTTTTGTTTTTAGCAACACATATATATTATTTTCCTGCGGCTTTAAACTAAATATGAAAGGATTTTACACTTACTTTCAGTGTTCAGTGTGTTAATAGCATCATCCACTATGCAGTCTGAAGCAAAGCCTTGTGTTTTGGATAATAAACCCAGTAAAGATGCGATCTTGAGCCTCACCGAGTTATCAGACTCCTGTAGACCACATTAAAACAGAACTATAATGTACTTGCCTTTAATACTGCAGATAAATTCAAAAGTTTTGTATAAATCAATTCAGAGAAGCAAAACCATTAAATTTTTTTGTTATATACAAATATTGTGCAAAATAATTATGCATTTTAACAATCAAACAAATATTATGTGTGTATGTGTATATATACAGTGTGTCCCACTGGGCATGGGACAATAACGGTGTTCAAGGTATACCACGGCTTGGAAAAGTCAAGGTTTTAAAACCGCCAAAATGTTCTGCTATACCTTTCCTAAGGTATGAGTGAGATTTTTTTATTTACATTTTTTTTGTTTTTTAGGACAGCAGTATCTTTAGCAGTAAAGATCACCAAATGTGCCGTTTTAAATTGTAAAAAAAAGGCTGTATTTTTTAAACAAATGAAGACAGCAGAAATCAATAATTCATTTGAATTCCTAAGCCTGACATGTTTACTGCTCCAAAATATTTTAAATGTTTCCTAAATTAAAATACATTGTGTACTAAGGGGAAAAGGTTTGTTTTTTACCCAGACATTTAAAAAATATATATTTTAGAGCAATAATCTCAATACCGTGAAACCGTGATATTTATATCCAAGGTTATCATACCATCAGAATCTTATACCGACCCATGTCTACTTGCCACAGGTTTGTAATATACTTGAGGTGGTAGCCAGATTAAAACACATGCTTTACCCCAGGCACATAAGTTCAGGTTGCTTTATTGGCATGACATTAATTGCCAAAGCATTCATCAAATTAATAACATATACAGCAAATGAGAATAAATGACAGAATAAAAAATTTAAATAGACAAATTCTCTAAAATGGATCATTATTAATAATTAATTAATAACTAGAATAAAAAGTGTAGAGTAAGTACATCGTAATCTAAGTGTATTTAAAAAAGACAAATGTTGATCGAGCATTTCTGCTAAAATATTCAATTTTTTTTTTATATTTTGCAGCCAGTTTACATGTTATTTTGTCCTCTCTGAGTATGTAGTTTTAGATTAAAGAATCTATTATTTACTTTTTTCTCAGTCTGGCGACTGTGCTCACTGTCAGCTGTAAATCCAAGCAGAAAGTAGTCTTTAATAAAAGAGTAATGCAAAAACGCAACAACTTTAGAAAGCAAAAGAGACATTTTAGAAGATTTAGAAGAAAAAAACAGCCAGAGTGGCCGGACACATTTTTAAGCCTTAAAAAGGCGCATCGATGTGGGTCTGTGCAGAGCGTTGTTGACAGTTATATCCAAAAAATAAATCAAATATACTTAGCTGACCGTTAATATACCTGGGCGGCCCGCCAAAGTAAAGTCTATGGCTGCGTCCGAAACCGCCTACTACTCAGTAGGTACTGCATCTGAATTTAAACGTACTACTCAGCCGTTAGAAAAGTACGTTCTATACAGTATGAATGTAAAAAGTATGAATGGAATTCGGACGTACTACATCCACAATTTTGTCATAGTCACGTGACCTACCTGCATCAGTTGCATCGCTTTACTCTCATTCATGAATTCTCTTGCGGGGCATCATGGGATAGCGCAGCATGCATGGGATGCGCACTCCAGAATCTCGTCGGAAGTAGCAAGTCATCCGGGTACTTTTTGCATACAGATTTTCGAATTCTATGAATTCGGACGTACTACTCGGCTCGCATACTGATTTTAGCGTACTATATAGTATGAAAGTATGCTGTTTCGGACGCAGCATTTGTGTAAGAAGCACTGGTATATACATATATAGCTACTCAGATATTTTCTATAATAATTCAAATCTTCAAATAAAAAGGTTACATTTGTCAATTGCATATCTTACAATTACTTAAAAAAAATATATATATATATATTATATTTTACATTATATTTTATGCATATCATTATCCTATATATATATATATATATATAGGATAATGATATGCATAAAATATAATGTAATTTCCTCCAAACATTTCATGCTTTGTTACATACGATGATTAACTTTCTTATTTAGGTATAAAAATTTGTAATAAACCACCCAGTTTGACTCAAACTCAAAGAACTACATTTCATTTCTATTGCCTATGCATTGAAAAGTTATATAAATTGTAAGTAGCATTGAGTGAAGTAGTTGGAAAAGTAATTAAAATAGAATTTTTATGACATAACTAGTAATAAATTGCTTTTTTGAAGTAACTTTTTAATTAAGTCTACACTATGATTTTTAAAACTTTTAACAGCTACATCTCATGCTACAAATATATAATAAATTGAATAACATACTGAAATATAACAAATATATTTAAAAAAAAAAAGCATAACAGGGTCACTGTAATGTTAATATCGAGGAAGATAAATTTGCATGTTTGAGTGTTTTTGATTCTAATACCTTATAATAGTGCTCGAGCAGTATGCGCACCACTCCCTCCACGCTCTCAGCCTCCACAGGTTTGCGTGCAAAACTCAGCAGGTACTGCAGGGCGTCTGTGGGGTTGGTGGCTTTACACAGGTCAATGTGAAGAGCTGCAGATTTACTGGGTTTGGTCAGCCGAAGCTTCTTTGAAGGAACCTCCTCAAGAGTCACCTGCTGAAAAACAGAACATCACAGGATTTTTAATTAACAAAAGGAAATAATGAGTAATCTTAGGAGAACACAATGCATATATATATCCTCTCTAAATGTAAATTAGATCAATAATAGCATTACTTTAGAGTTTGAAAATTCAATTCATCTTTATTTCTATACTGCTTTTACAATATACATTGTGTCAAAGAAGCTTAAGTTCTAGTAAATTCGTAAAGTTCAGTTCAATTCAAGTCATCTTTATTTCTATAGCACTTTTACAATGTTTAATTTTCACTGCTGAAAGTCCAAACACTTATAAGCAAATCTATCCATGCGCAGCTCCACAAATCCCAAACCAAGCAAGCCCGTGGCGACAGTGGCGAGGACTGATACACCGTTGTGCTGATGTCCACTGCATCGAATTTAGGTTGCACAGAAATTAATAAATAATGCTTGAATGATAAAGCTTGAATGACTCTGCTTCCAAACACAACAATATAAAAATACATATATAAATAAAACATAAAGATATTGCTGTTGCCTTATTGTTTTTGGGTTTAACTTTTAAAGAAAACTTTTTATAAAGAAAGAATCTACAATCAAAATACATTTACTTGTAAAAGACAAGTACATTAGAAGTCTTGTTTTATGTTTAAATTAATAAAAAACAAAGAGAGACTGTGATTAAAACAAACTAAACTAAATCTTAAATTAAATTTTAATATTATTTTTTTGTCCTGTTTCTAGTTCAAATATTTACAAATACTTAAATCTAGAAGCATTTTCTAGACAAGCAAAAAATACTGCCATGTTTTTAGAAATAATGAGTCAAAATTTAGTGAGGGTTATTTTAAAACAATCAAAATAATCTAGTTTTTTCCTTTTGACATAAGATTATTTTGCTTTTGCTTTTTTTTTAAGAAAAACTCACTTAATTTTGACTCAATATTTCTTGAAAACAGACATTGTGATTTGGTTGTCTTAGAAAAATTGTAGATATTTGGACAAGAAACAAGCAAAAAAATAAATAAATTTTTGCAGTGTTTTGCTTCTTGTGGTAAACATAAACGTGTATCATTATTTCAATAAAAACACTTTTTCTCAAAAAACAAGACTAGTTATTTAAGTTAATCAACTGCACATTTATTTGAAGATGTTTTTATATGTCAGTTGTAAAACAAAATATTTAGGAAATTGGTTTTGAAGTGCAAGCAAAAAAATATATATATATTTCCCCTGACTGTGCTCTAAATCGCCTTTTTAGGACCAGCACAATCCCTAACAGAGATGCCAAAAGTAGGACTGGCAGGCCAAAGTTGGCCCATTGTAACCTTTGATTTGGCCCACCATCAAACCAAAGAAGAAAGTGAGACTGATGGAGAGGGTTAGGTCGAGTGCCTTTAACACAATTTTTAATTTGATGTAAACGTTTTATTGCTGAGCTACAATTTTTTTTATTTAAATGTTGTATATTAATCTGATATATATATATATATATATATATATATATATATATATATATATATATATATATATATATACTGTCAATAAACAGATTGAGTACTATGCAGAAGACATTAGTGAGCAAATCAATGCAACAACTGGTGTAATTTTATTAGAAATTAAGATTATTTTGTTTTTACTGTAATACGTTTATTACAAAATAAAATAAAAGCAAGTAAAAAAATAAAATAAAGTATTAGTAAATATAAAGCAATGTTTTCTAGTCATTGTTAAACATTATTTAATAAATTAGGAAATTAGCCATGGAAACTATATTTGCCTTTGGTCCACAAGCCTCAATCAAGTTTGGTTTTTGGCCTTTGTAAGAAAAAGTTTGGGCACCGCTGCACTAAAAGAACAATAACAACGTGATAAGTTCTGTAATATTCTAAATATGCCTTAATAAGAACAAATACGAAAATATTTGCGTTAATAAAGACCTAGAATTACAAGTATTGTGCTAAAAGCTTTTTAATACTTTAACCCATAAAGAACAGTTTCTGGAAATGAGAAGTCATTCATTCATTCTCTTTCTGCTTGGTCCCTTTATTCATTAGAGGTCGTCACAGCGGAATGAACCGCCAACTTATCGAGCATGTGTTTTACACAGCAAATGCCCTTCCAGCTGCAACCCATCACTGGGAAGTCATTAAAATAAATGAAAATTAAAGTGACAAGGAAATGTAACATTAAGTGCAAACTTCGAATAAAATAAACACAAATGTAAGTGCTTTTACACAAACAAATCCTCTATCACCAGACTAAAACACACTTTGAATGAAACCATTTAACATTAATGGATTAAATAGTTAACGACACAATAATAACGGTTAACGTACATCAACAATCACACTCAAGCTAGCCAAGGGCCAAGGGCTAGCTGTTTCACATTCATTCCAATAAACTACAATTATATTAACGTAACCAGAAAAAAATATAATACGACATTATAAATCAGTATATGTCATGTTTATAAGTTCACCTGAGAAACTTTAGAGAATTCTTCATAAACTCGTTTCTTCAGATGAGCTGCCATCGCTGTGTTTATCCTTCAACACGGCTGCGCTTCTGCTCTTCTTCGCGCATGCGCGGTTTGTCGGCCGCAGAGTTTTGCAGGAGTACAGCGACACTACATGGACGGAAGAGTTCAGAAAATACAATAGCACAGTTTTAAAAGCTTTTAAAGGCGCCATATTATCAAAATCATTGGCTAGTTAAATAATAAGACTTGAGTACATGGAAATAGCATACGGTAAACCATTGTTTACTCCTTGTCACGCAAATGAGTGTGGAATCCACATCAAAATTAGGCCAATAGGAACAAAATAGACTTTTACATTGCACAGATATTTAAATATTGTTGTGAGAAGTATAATATTTAAGCGCAAACTTTTTCTTATGAAGGGCCAAAATCCAAGCTTGATTGAGAGCTGTGGGCCAAACGTAAAGCTCTACGCGCAGCTAGAGATTTAGTGGGTAGCACAATCGCCTCACATCAAGAAGGTTGCTGGTTCGAGTCCCAGTTGGCATTTCTGTGTGGAGTTCGCATGTTCTCCTTGTGTTGGCTTGGGTTTCCTCCTGATGCTCTAGTTTCCCCCACAAGTCCAAAGGCATGCGGTACAGGTGAATTGGGTAGGCTAAAGTGGCCGTAGTGTATGTGTGTGAATGAGTGTGTGTGGATATTTCCCAGTGATGGGTTGCAGCTGGAAGGGCATCCGCTTTGTAAAACATATGCTGGATAAGTTGGCGGTTCATTCCGCAATGGACCCCTGATAAATAAAGGGACTAAGCTGGAAGGAAAATGAATGAATGAATGAATGAATGAATGAATAAATGAATGATACTAAAACTGCTGGATATGGCAAATAATTTTCTTAACATAATTTGCACCTTTATTGATCAATTAACAAAGTAAAGCTGACAATAAGTACAGACAAAACTGTACAGACAAATTATACATATATGGCACAAATTATAGCAATAATAATATAATATTTTAAGTCCGCTATTAATTATATTTCTTATAAAAACACATTGGGCATTCATGAACAGATCACGTAAATTCTGAATGGAGGGAAATAGATTTTGGATGCTAGCATCTGGCAAATACATGTTGAAATGTTACACATTACACACAGTATATACAGTTGAAGTCAGAATTATTAGCCCCCTTTGAATCTTTTCTTTTTTAAATATTTCCCAAATGATGTTTAACAGAGCAAAGACATGTTCACAGTATGTCTGATAATACTTATTCTTCTAAAAAAAGTCTTATTTGTTTTATTTCGGCTAGAATAAAAGCAGTTTTAATTTTTTAAACACCATTTTAAGGTAAAACTTATTAGCCTCTTTAAGCTATATATTTTTTCAATAGTCTACAGAACAAACCATCGGTTAACAAGAACTTGCCTAATTACCATAACCTGCCTAGTTAACCTGATTAACCTAGTTAAGCCTTTAAATGTCACTTTAAGCTGTATAGAAGTGTCTTGAAAAATATCTAGTCAAATATTATTTACTGTCATCATGACAAAGATAAAATAAATCAGTTATTAGAAATGAGTTATTAAAACTATTATGATTAAAAAATGTGTTGGTAAAAAAATCTGCCAAGGTTAAACAGAAATTGGGGGAAAAAATACACAGGAGGGCTAATAATTCTGACTTTAACTGTATTAAATTATCATTACTAAGACTTTTTTATTACTAGTTTTTATTACACAGCTGTCTGGAATACTCACTTCTGATTGGTCAGTTGTGACATTTCAGGGTATGTTTTCCCAAAATAACAACCGCTAAATAACACAGACTCACATTCTGAGATCTCAACCTCCATGATGTACTTTATGCCTAACAAAAAGCATAACACTAATATTTTATTCAAAACACATTCCTAATAGTATCAAATGCAGACTAATAATAACACTATTTCTTTTAAATTTAGCTGAAATTGAATGAAGTAAAATAAATCATAATGCTTTAATAAACCTTGTATGCAAGAGTGCAAGTGTATTTCCAGCCCTAGACGATTACTCACTGAAGATAAGCAGGGCTGAGCCTGGTCAGTACCTGGATGGGAGACCATTTGGGATAACTAGGTTGCTTTTGGAAGTGGTGTTAGTGAGGGCAGCAGGGGGCGCTCAACCTGTGGTTTGTGTAAGTCCTAATGCCCCAGTATAGTGAAGGGGACGCTATACTGTCATTGGGTGCTGAGTTTTGGATGAGACGTTAAAGCGAGGTCCTGACTCTCTGTGGTCATTAAAAATCCCATAGCACTTTTCATAAAGAGTAGGGGTGTAACCCCAGTGTCCAGACCAAATAATCTCTCGGCCCTTAATCATAATGGCTCCCAATCATCCCCATCCACCAAATTGGCTCTATCACTGTTTCTCCACTCCACCTATATCTGGTGAGCGCACTGGCACCGTTGTCCTGTGACTGCCAAGTGGATGCTGCACACTGGTGGTGGTGTGCACTTTGGGTGTATGGCCATACACAATAAATGCGCTATATAAATACACATTACATTACTTTACACATTCCATAAATGTGAAGAAATAAATATATAGAAAAATACACTAGAAACATTAGTATTCATGTATTCTATGGCTGCATTTGTTTATCTGCGTAAATTTTTATTATTCGAATAGCAAAAAAATGTTAAATGAACTTTAAGCTTTACTATCATTATAATCTCAAATAATTGCAATTAGATCATATAACCACAATCAGATGATTGGTCAATAATACACTAATCTTAGCCAGAATAATACTTATCTTTACTAAAAGGTTTATTCCTGTAATTTTCTTTAAAGGACAACTATTTTACCTCTTTTTCAAGATTTAAGACAAGTCTTTTGTGTCTCCAGAATGTGTGTCAAGTTTCAGCTCAAAACACCCATCAGATTGTTTATTAGACCTTATTTATATAGAAATTTTCAGCTCTGAACACATTGTAGCTGTTTTTGTTGCCTGTGCCTTTAATGCAAATGAGCTGCTTCTCCACGCCCACCATTCCGTGCCAGAGCCACAGAACTCTCTCTGCATTGCTCTGATGGGTGTAGCTTTCTCCTGCTGCGTCTCACGTCAGATAAACAGCACAGTGACAGACAAGAATGAAGCAGATCTCCCTTACTACAGTAAGAACTTTCACAATGATTATTTGATGTATTTGCTGTGGAGTTAATTCAAGCCTTTCTGCAACGATGAGTCACACACAATGTTGTTTCTCATTCTTGAGGTGCTGCTGATCACAGTGAGCTGAACAGATCTTTTAATCCCGGTTGCTTTGCGCACATCCTGTCTTGTTGATAAGATTATACGGGTTACTACGAAGATATGTTAATATGCGGCTGTCAATCAAACCAGTGGGCGGGGAAACCGCACTCCTACATACCGTTGTGGTCGGCCTCAAGATGGGAGGGATTTGGATCCTATTTTAAACTTAAAAAAAGAGACTTATTGTGTTTTTATCATCCCAATATGACTGTGGACACACTATACCTGCACACAGTTCTGTCCAAACAGCTTACAAAAGATGATTTTCATCATAGGTGCCCTTTAAATGTTTCAGAGACATTCATGTACATGCTTTTTTATGCCACATGACAGGACAGTAAGACCAGAGTCAATATTAAACAAGGGCTGAACACATCCTGACAGATAAAAAAATTATTACCCATCATTCACTGACGACCGTCTGTCATAATTTGGGTAATGTTGGTTTTATAATCACACATCAGACTTTCTCCTCAATGATATAATTTCAGAAAAGTATTGTTTGCAAATTCTAAATAGAGAAATCATATAAGGACGGCATGGTGGCTCAGTGGTTAGGACTGACACCTCACAGCAAGGTCGCTAGTTCAAGTCCCGGCTGGGTCAGTTGGCATTTCTGTGTGGAGTTTGCATGTTCTCCCCGTGTTGGCGTGGGTTTCCTCTGGGTGCTCCATTTTGCCCCACATTCCAAACACATGCGCTTTAGGTGAATTGAACAAGCTAAATTGACCGTAGTGTGTGTGTGTGTGTGAATGCAAGAATGTATGGGTGTTTCCCAGTACTGGGTTGCAGCTGGAAGGGTATCCGCTGTGTAACTATCAATTGCTATATTCATAATATTATTATATTACATTATAATATTTGCATAGTCGGATAAAAAATAGAGGTTTCCAGCCTCTACCACCAGGTGAAAACGAGTTTATAGAAGAAATCATAGCTCTTGAAGAGAAACCCTTTGTCTACGCTGTGCGCTTGAATCTTTACTTTATATCCTTTGGCTTCTATGTCCATTTTGACGCAATCTAACAGATCCTCAACAGACGCTGGAGCTTTCCACGGACCAAAGCTCACCACAGACTCTCTGGGAGCGTCCAGGCTGTCGATAGCATCATTATATCTGGATAAATCGTCTTCTGTCCTCAAAACACACACGATTATGTTGGAGTGTCGAGAAGCGATGGCCTCAGCTCTGGCCACACGTACGATCACCTCCAGGTTTTCTCGATAATTGGGCACGCGAGCTAAAAACTGCTGCCTTCCGACGGTCTCTCCGAAAAACTGCGGCGTCTCCTCGATGGCTTTGACTAGAGGTTTGATGTCGTAGTAAATTGCCTCCTTGTGCACCTCCTGTAGGTGTTCACAGGGGAGTTTTTCTGTTCGGAGATACTCCAGGATGTGTGTGAAAAGTGTCCCGTCACGATCTATGAAGTAGCGACCCTCAGAGTCCATACGCTTGCTTGATCCGTTAATCAGCTCCGCCAGGGTGGAGTTCGGGAATTTACGGATGGTTCCCAGTGTCGTGCTAAACACATGACCTCCTATGTTCAGATGCACAACCTGCGATTTCTGTAGGGAAAGAGAGAACATATGCACTTTAGAAAGAAATATAGTTGATACCAGTGTTAAAGGTAATTATTTTTTTGTTCTTCTCTTGCTTTATTTTCTCTCTCCCCCCTTTCTCAGGCTGCATGGTGAGCAATCTACATAGATTGCAGATTCCACCAGTATAGAAATGTCCAGGTGCTAACCCAAGCCCTATCATACACCGACACAATAAGGCACAAGACGTGTGCGTGTGATTTGTTGCTATTTTCAGACCAGTGCAATTCTAATTTTCACATTTTGCACCATGTTGTTTAAATAGCAAATCCATTTGCGCTACTCTGTGGACTCATGGGTGTGCTGGTCTGAAAAGGAGGTCTTTTATCGTTGCCGCATTTCTATTTTGAGAAACGGAAATAGACCATTGACCAACTAAAAGCTGGTCTAAAGTTCAGCGCAGATCGTGTTAGCAGCAATACACAAATATCTTTACATATGAAAACAATTAAAGAATTAAAAATGTTACAAAAATTATTATTTTCTACATAAATATAAAAACATTACCTACACACCTTCTACATGCCTCTGTAATGGAGGCCAGCCAGGCGCGGATTGGCCAATCGGGAGGACCGGGAGAGTTCCCGGTGGGCCGTTTCCGTTTTTTGGCCGCGAGGGCCGGTGTTTCTAGCTGCTTGCACTCTCAGCAGTCGCACTTTTTTTAAATTTATTTATTAATTGGACCATAGCCTCACTCTTTTTATTCATTATTTTGCCGAAGCTCTGCTCTTCTTATATTATTGCCTCGCAACCCCATGAGCAAAATGCAGCCTGCAGGGTAATGATGTAACTATCATTCCGGCCACGGAAGCGTAACAGCGCTCTTGTGGTCCAGTGGTCAGCACGTTCCTTACGACGTGTTCGATCCTTACCTGAGGAATTTTTTTTTTTTTCATTTTTATTGTTAAGGTTGTTGAACATTAGAAGTTCTAAAGCAGCTTTTTTCTTAAAAAAGACGTGATTATAATAATTACTTATTTTAATATAGTCAGTCGTGAACTGGGGTGGGCCGGTCTAATGCTTGAAACTCCAGGTCTGAAAAGGAGTCCCACTCCGGCCCTGAGGCCAGCCAGTAAGTGCTGTGCAGGTAAACCTCACTCCTCTGACCTCTAAAGGTGCTCTAGCGACAGATGCTAGAGAGGCCATGGTCTTTATCCTCCTTGGTAGAGCAACCAATTCCCATGTGGAAGGTCACCCGTTTGATACCAGTTCGAAGCGGATTGGGTGGCATAGGACCGGCAGGGTTACATTGGTGCCATGACCCGGAAGGGAGTGAGGTTTAGGGGGGTGAGTGTAATTATAATTCCACTACTCAGAATGACAATTAGAAATATCTGCAATTACAATTGTACTAGTACGAAATCAGATTGGAGATATCTGCAAATATATTATGATTAGTCATATTCCTCCATTGACTTCCATTGAAAAATATTTGCAGATATCTCTAAATGAGTTTTGATTAGTCACAATTGTAATTAGAGATATCTCTTACTGAGTTTTTACTAGTCATAATACATTTAGAGATATCTTTAATTCATCATATTTAGAGATATTTACAAATATATTTGAAGATATCTCTAATTAATTTACTAATAGTCGAATTACAGCTGTAGATATCTTAAAATGGATTTTTGACTAGTAAAAATTCATTTGGAGATATCTCTAATTACAATTGTGACTAGTCAAAACTCATTTAGAGATATCTGCAAATATTTTTCAATGGAAGTCAATGGAGGAATATGACTAGTCAGTCATAATATATTTGCAGATATCTCCAATCTGACTAGTCGAATTATAATTATGACAAGTCAAAATATAATTAGAGATATCTCTAAATATATTTATCGATAGTCAGAACATAGTTTAAATGCTAAAACGGCTTGCCATACGCTCTCACCCAGTATCACAGTGGAGATTTCTCTAGTTATATCCTTTCAGTCGTTTGTTATGCATTGACATGCAGTCAAATATTTCGCCAAACAGTCCTTAGGGATGCGGTGACGCAGTCAGATATTTTACCGGACAGATCCGCCACTTTTGGCGCTAATAAACAATAATAATGGTCTCGTGCTGCAGGAATGAGGAGGTCTGCTGAAGGCGCGCAGCTGTAGTGTTATGAGGAGTTTGTGTCTTTAATAAACTACGGCAGTTTGCGTTCACTGAACAGTAAGAATGATTAATAAATCCATATGAAACAGCCCCTTAAAAGTCACGTATCGCTTTCAGTTTCGGGCTTTGGCGCGTTTTGCACTCACACACAAGCGTACCGCGCCAAAGGCTAAGTGATCCGCACTCAGGCACACCTCTTCCAACCGGGCCAGGGCCGGCCAAGTGAACCGTGCTTGAGCCCGATTCAGCGCACTCACACTTCTCAAACGATCCAGGAAATGGGCCTGGGCACGGTACGGATGGCATAGTGTGAGTAAGCCCTAACACTAGAGGCCATGGTCTTTAACCTCCTTGTTAGAGCAACCAACTCCCATGCGGAAGGTTGCCGATTCGATACCAGCTCGGAGTGGGTTGAGTGGCGTAGAACCGGCAAGGTTACACCTCCATGCCTTTTTCAATTCATTTATGACAGTCTGCATTTGTATAATGTTATTATTATTAGCAGTATTATTTAGAATCTGCATATTTATATTGGTTTTAATAAAAACAAGTTCAGATTTATCCTCCTGTCGGGTTTTGGAGACGTCTGCATTACCATATGGAGCATAAGATCAGGACGTGTGTTTAGATATAACTCCAAACTTCATTATTATTGTTTATTTATTCAGTTGCTGGAAATTAGAACTGAATTTAGAAATAGTTTTGAAATACCAAAATCTCTCTGGCCATTCTGCAGGACTTGTGTCCATCATTCCTAAAACACAGAATGATGCTGTATTGAAAACAAAAAGATGCCCTACAGCAGAAGTGTGCAAACTCGATCCTGAAGGGCCAGTGTCCTGAAAAGTTGAGTTCCAACCCCAATCAGACACACCTGAGCAAGCTAATCAAGCTCTTACTAGGCTTCATAGAAACATCCTTGCAGGTGTGTTGAAGCTAAAATCTGCAGGACACCGGCCCTTCAGGACCGAGTTTGGACACCTCTGCTGCCCTACAGCATACTAATGAATTATTGTGATCTAAAACCAGGCATTTCTGTTTCATTACCAACCCCTGTATATGCATAATACATATAAATAAACACACATAAACACACAAATAAGGTATTAATATCACCGGTTCTTCACAGTGGTGGAAAGAGTACTGAAAAATCATACTCAAGTAAAAGTACCATTACTTGCCTAAAAATGAAGTAGAGTAAAAGTATCAGTTGTAAATATTACTCAAAGTATGAGTAAAAAGTAGCCCTTTCAAAAGTACTCAAGAGTAGTATTAAGGTTTTAAAAGCTGATGTGTTTACATGTAATTTGTGTATGTGTGTGCAAACGTAACATTCTGTAGTGCATCGAGTTATTGCCCAGCTGGCACCAGTGGCGCAAAAAGGGGGTATGCAGTATATGCGGCGCATAGGGGCGCCACACATGGGGGGCGCCATTGTGCCAAAACTATTTTTGAAATTATCTATTTTAAAAGTTTCAAATAATATATATATTTTTTTGTTAAAAATGTTTATTTAGCATTTTATACGCGTATAATATTGTATTTTATTAAATAAAGAAATCATTCCACCCCTCCCCCCATTTTTTATACCATATACATGTTTCTATGAATTTATTATGTATCATATTGATTCATCAGGCCTTTTGGTAACTTCTTTGCTCAAAACTATTTTACTTTTAGCTACAAACAAAGTTATAACATTTCAATTAAATAGAACATTTCACACAGTTTGTTTCTGTTTTTTTTACACTAAACATTTGACAGTCTTTTTTATTTCACTTTTTGCAGTTTCAGTCAATTGTTCAAAATGTTCTTTTGCCCTTTAGGACTCCCATGTCTATCATTTTGTTTTGACAAATGTAGTACAAAAAGTCCAAAAGCAAGCCTAGTCAAGGTGCTATAATCATTTAGAGAGGGAAAATTAAACTGAGAAAAAAAAATTCTGGTAGTATGAGATGCATTTCTTTGTGACGTAACATGCTTAATGTAATTATACCTTTTACTACTTCATACTATTTCAGTTGTGTTCAGAACTGTGAAACTGTATTTTTTGAAGCATATTGATATCTTTATGAAAAAATATATTTTATTTATTGATGGAAATATTTTCCACATTTTATCACTTGCCTGTTATAAAATATAGTTGGACTGAAGGGGGGCGCGCAAAAGTTGAAGCCGCATACCCATCAGTAAATGTGCAGTTGCGCCCCTGGCTGGCACACTACATCATAAGACATTAATATTAGGTTAGATTGTCTAGCCAGCGTCTAAAGACAACATTATTTGTTCAATAACAACATCAAATGACGATGATATTTGGTTGACTTTAGGTTGTGTTGGAAAGTGACCAAAATCCAATGTCAAGCAAGCATCCAACGTCATTTTGGCATCACATGCTGACACTTCCATGACTTCCATGAAAAAACAAAATGTAACATCCCCATGACACTATGGGTACAACTTCATTCTGACGTCATGTTGACATCTTGCGCCTGCTGGATGTTTAAGGCCATTTCGATCATCATACAGCAAACATCTGTCATCTTCTCATCAGTGTCATGCATCTTAACAGTCTCTGAGTCAATGCATGTAAAGATTTTGGACATCTTGTACACTTTTAATGCTTCCAAACAGTTTGCTGCAATTATAAAATGCACATGTTTTGAGGTAGGGTTGGGTATCGTTTGCGGTTATTTCAAAACCGGTGCTAAATCGATACTTTTAAATTGGTACCGGTGCCAAAACCGATACTATTTAACCACAAAATGATTTGACAAAATATATTTTAATAATTATAATCAGGGCTTTACATTAACTTTTTTGATCACCAGCCACTATGGCAAGTAGATTTCCAACATTACTAGCCACTTGCCATTTTCACTAGCCACAATTTTGTTGTTTGGAAAATATATTTAATATAAAGAAATGTGACTTTGACATGCTAAAATGACTTGATTAAGATGTTGTGTTGTCCCATTTCAGCAGTTACTACACACAAATGGTCGGTTAATCTCATATTAAGGAAATGTTATTGTAAAAGATGATAATTAAACTATATTAGCAAAAATAACTGTAAGCAAAAGAAAGCAGGTAAAAACATACCACGAGTGATAATGAAAGGATGATCACGTGCCTGAGAATAATTAAAACGAAAGCAGTGACTGCTACTGTTGCTTAAATATATATATATATATATATATATATATATATATATATATATATATATATATATATATATATATATATATATATATATATATAATTTTTTTTTTTTTTGAGCTCTTAAAAGCAGCAGCAGGACTGTGGGTACACGAGCATCGTTTTTTGTCTAGTCTTTCACAGAGAACCGATCGCAAGTGAACGGAAAAAAGCGCAAGTAAACGGGAGCGCGCGCGCTTTAAACAGTCGCGCGCATCACATCACCTGTGCGCGCGAGTAATCATCCTGTCATACGGTATTCCCCTGCTTTGTCTCGCGCGAAAACAGTTATTGTTTTCAGTCGTGCTGTTTCTCGATTCTAAGATCACATTTGCACGCATTTTGGGCCATCCTTATTGTCGAACCCTGCTTTAAGAAAACTACAATGTAAAAATTATTTCCAAGCTGCCAAAGTGGCTAGTGGGAGCGGCTGTCCAACCCGCCATAGCTGAAATCTACCCGCATTTGGCGGGTTAGGGGGTGTTAATGTAAAGCCCTGATTATAATTAAACAATATAATTATATATTTATAATAAGTTTAAAGTTAAGATCAATTCATATATTATATATTTCAATTGCATTTATATAGCTATTTCTTTTAATTTTTGAGGTAGTTCATTATGAGGCGATAGCTTCTATGTGAGATCTAATCCACATAGACAAGAAAAAAATATAGTGACTGCAGATTGAAGAAAAGTAGTGGAGTAAAAGTACCGATACTGCACTAAAAATGTACTCACACACATTTTTAAAACTACTTATTACAATTCCTGAGAAAAACTACTCAGTTAATTTGAGTACTTGTAATTAGTTACTTTACACCACTGAATCCATTAGATCAAAAAGCACTAACAATAGACAAAAATAACATTAATAACAACAAAAGTAGTTTTAAAAAGCCGAGGGTGGATACATCTAGAGACAGGACGTCCCACAAATGCTCAGCATCAACATTTCATTAATCTCGGTAAATATTCATTAATTCATTTTCTTGTCGGCTTAGTCCCTTTATTAATCTGGGGTCCCCACAGCGGAATGACCCGCCAACTTATCCAGCAAGTTTTTACGCAGCGGATGCCCTTCCAGCCGCAACCCATCTCTGGGAAATCGGTAAATACTGTAACCGAGTTAAAATGCTGAATTGATGTTCAGAATAATGCCACTGTATAATCTTTAACCAGCTTCCGCCTTAAGCATACAATTCTACAGGGAAATAAGAGCTTTCTTGTAACTTGAGTGAAGTTTCGTGTACTTGCGTAGGATGATAAAACAAGTCGAGTGTGTTTGCTTTACAGGTGGTGCTGTGGAAATCCACCGTAAAGTTCATCAGCACGCAATGACAGAGACAGTTATTATAGTGTCAAAAACGTACATGAATAATACAAATGCAGCCAAAAGAGACGCTCAGACACTGAACAGCTGTTACACGAAACACAACATTCGCGCGGAAGTTCTTACATAACAATCAGACTCAAAGGGAACCGATTATCTGACTTACCGACTGCACAGGTGCTGAGGACTGTTTCCCAATTGTTTTATAGTCCGGTAAACTCATGATTTTCTGCTCAAACTCCAGCAATCATTCAGTGAGAGCTATGAATGTGAGTCAGGTGAGTGTGTGTGTAACTTTATAAGATCCACCCATGACGACGCGCGCGCGCAGGTAGTCTGCATAGCAGCTCTGCCTTTTGAATGCACATAAACCCAAATGTTTTGGTTTGATGTTGATTATTTTATATTTAAACTTACAAAATTAAAAATTCAGTTTTCTTGTCAAGATCATTTTTTGATTTATAACAATAATAACAAAACTTTGGAGCAGAATTTGTTTATTAATTTAATGATAATATATGGGAAGTTCCATGTACACAAACAAAAATGGTCCAACGATAAGCCAAATATTCATTTGTTTAAAATTGATTTTAAGCATTAGCCTACATAGAAACCCTAAAAGACACAAAAAATAAAAAAGCTATATGAATTTATTCAATTTTGGAATCCTTTTCTTATACAATTTTTTTGTAATTTTTATTCCCTGTAATTTTATTTTTATATAAATAATTTATATATATATATATATATATATATAATTATTTTTCTCTCTCTACTAATTTGTTCCTTTGATGCAAAAAATGTAAACATTGTATTTCTCATTTTTTGTATGTTCTTGTTATGCAATAAAAAAAATTAAAAAAAATTGCAGCACTGCCTAGTATTCATAGGACGGATCCTGTACTGTATTAAAATGAGGTAGACTTTTGTAGTAAAAAATTTAAAAAGTTATTAGATTAACTTAAAAAAATACAGCCTTAAAGCCTAGAGGAAAATTGTTTTGGAGTTTGAAAAAAAAAATGCTTGGTTGCATCCTTTTCGTTTTTGCACAATAAACGGAACTGCATTTAAAAATACTTCTTAACATTTATGTTAGCAATTTTACATTATCTAAATTTATGCAGACTGATGGAAATTGCTCATTCTGTTAAGATCTTCCAGAGTCGTTGGTTTATCTTTAGTGAATGTCAACATTCGAAGAAGTTTTGGGATGACTTATTGATGTCCAAAATAAAAATGTAATTTGACCCCCAAACAATTTATTTGTGGAATTTATAATGTCTCTTTTGATCTTATTTGGTATATTTCATATCCATAAATGTAGATTGAATAATTCTAAACCTTGTTTAAAAGTCTCTACAGGGAGTGCAGAATTATTAGTCAAATGAGTATTTTGACCACATCATCCTCTTTATGCATGTTGTCTTACTCCAAGCTGTATAGGCTCGAAAGCCTACTACCAATTGAGAATATTAGGCGATGTGCATCTCTGTAATGAGAAGGGGTGTGGTCTAATGACATCAACACCCTATATCAGGTGTGCATAATTATTAGGCAACTTCCTTTGCCAAAATGGGTCAAAAGAAGGACTTGACAGGCTCAGAAAAGTCCAAAATAGTGAGATGTCTTTCAGAGGGATGCAGTACTCTTAAAATTGCAAAGCTTCTGAAGCGTGATCATCGAACAATCAAGCGTCTCATTCAAAATAGTCAACAGGGTCACAAGAATTGTATGGAAAAACCAAGGTGCAAAAAAACTGCCCATGAACTGAGAAAAGTCAAGAGTGCAGCTGCCAAGATGCCACCAGTTTGGCCACATTTCAGCGCTGGAACATCACTGGAGTGCCCAAAAGCACAAGGTGTGCAATACTCAGAGACATGGCCAAGGTAAGAAAGGCTGAAAGATGACCACCACTGAACAAGACACACGAGCTGAAACGTCACGACTGGGCCAAGAAGTATATCAAGACTGATTTTTCTAAGGTTTTATGGACTGATGCAATGAGAGTGAGTCTTGATGGGCCAGATGGATGGGCCTGTGGCTGGATTGGTAAAGGGCAGAGAGCTCCAGTCTGACTCAGACGCCAGCAAGGTGGAGGTGGAGTACTGGTTTGGGCTGGTATCATCAAAGATGAGCTTAAGGGGCCTTTTCGGGTTGAGGATGGAGTCAAGCTCAACTCCCGAAGAAGTCTGCATCCTTCAAGAAAAACATGATTTTCATGCAGGACAATGCTCCATCACACACGTCCCAGTACTCCACACCGTGGCTGGCGAGAAAGGGTATAAAAGAAGAAAAACTAATGACATGGCCTCTTTGTTCACCTGATCTGAACCCCATTGAGAACCTGTGGTTCATCATCAAATGTGAGATTTACAGAAGGAAAACAGTACACCTCTCTGAACAGTGTCTGGGAGGCTGTGGTTGCTGCTGCACGCAATGTTGATAGTGAACAGATCAGAACACTGACAGAATCCATGGATGGCAGGCTTTTGAGTGTCCTTGCAAAGAAAGGTGGCTATATTTGGTCACCGATTAGCTTTTGAATGTCAGAAATGTATATTTGTAAATGTGGAGGTGTTATATTGGTTTCGCTGGTAAAAATAAATAATTGAAATGGGTATATATTTGTTTTTTGTTAAGTTGAATAATTATGCACAGTAATAGTCACCTGCACACACAGATATCCCCCTAAAATAACTAAAACTAAAAACTACATCCAAAAATATTCAGCTTTGATATGAGTTTTTTGGGATTATTGAGAACATGGTCGTTCAATAATAAAATGATTCCTCAAAAATACAACTTGCCTAATAATTCTGCACTCCCTGTAGACTTATTGTTAATGATATGACTTGGGTGTGCTTTATAGTGCCATCAGCCAGTAAAACGCCAATCTGCTAAACAATTAAAGTACTCCGATCATAAACAGTGCTCATTAGAAATGAATCAAGACAACATTTCCCGTTTATCATTTTATTTTTATACAGAAAAGTGTTGGCCTTCCATCAATGATCGGTCAACCTGGAAGACAAAAAAAAAAGCCTGTTAGAAAAGTAAATCATCAAAACACACAACAAATAAGACGATACAAGAAAACCCTTCTCAGACAAATGCCTCAAGATCTTCAATCTAGAGGACGCATGATCTCCGAGGACTTGAAATCAGACGCACAGAACGTGAGTCTGACCCAGAATCCTCAGAGTTGGTCCTCGATCCGACTCGTCATCGTATCGTCACTGAAGGGACATCGCTACTCATTTGATTGCTGTTTTTGGCTCTTACCCATTTATGCTGTGGGCACTGGGGTGCCCTGTGGCATGACTGGGACTTCAGGCTTTGCCCCTTTCTGTTCGGACACTGGGGTGGTGGGAAGAACCTCCTCTTTGGGCTCCACAATGCTGACATGGTCAGGCAGGGGCTTCTTGGGGCCGATTTTTCCGCTGGGATCCCAGGGAAGCATGATCTTCACCTTGATTCCAAGCACACCTATAAAAACACACAGATTCACAGGGATATATGATTCGATTCAATTCAACTTTATTTGTATAGCACTTCCACAATAACGGTTTTACAAATGATGCACATTACTGCATTACAATCAAATTCAGACAAGTTATTTATTAGTTACCATAACTGTATTAGTTATTAATATCCTAGTAGTACCTAATAGCTTTATAAACGATTAATCAGCAGTTATATATAGAATATAAGTGATGTGTAAATGATCAGTGAAGTGTATTTGTGTATTAATTGTGTGTGTTGTCTTCGATGGTTGGCATCATCCCTTCGCAGGTTTTGAATCTCAAGTAAAAGAATTATAAAAATATCAACGCATGCATCTAATCCTTCTCAGACTAAGGCGCAATCCCAATTGTACCTCTTAGTTCTTCCCCTTACCCCTCTTTTTGTGCGTACACGACAAGGTGTAGGGGTGTCCCACTTCTTTTTAGCTTGAAGGCATAGGGCTAAGGGGAAGGGGTGAATAGCCCTTCGAACTAAGATTTTTCAGGACCACACTTGAAACCAAGTGGTAGGAAAATTTCCCAGAATACACCAGCCACAGCGGCAGCTGAACCCGGAAGTAAGGAGATCCACAAATTAGTATTTTTTGTCATTATTTATAATTTTTATGACAACCAAAACACATGATTCAATATATTCATAAGGTAATATTAGCAATCTATAATCCCTATTAATAACTTCTGTACAGCAGTCCCACAACATTCTGACACTGGAATACCCTGTCAGCAATGTCTAGTGGCTGTCAATGAGCTTTTTACAGTGTCTGCTATAATGTTACTGTTGTTTTTGGTGTGTTTACATAGCTGAATTTGGCCACTGTGTAAATACACAGTACAGTTACGATCTTATTGCCACATTAGATTGCTATAATAACATACTATATGCCTTCAGTGACTTCCTGAAGATGAATACCAAAAAAATAACACAACTGGAATCACTACAGCAGTCGCCATCGTCGAATCCCACATGAAGCAGGAGATCGCGATGACATCTGATGAAGCGTGCAGGTGCTGTCCCAATTCTTAGGGGTAAATTTTGAAGCCCTTCCCCTTAACCGTCGGTTGTAAGGGCCAAAGGGAAAGGGTAGGGGTACAAAAATATAAATTGGGATTGGGCCTAACGCTTCCAAATCATCACACTAATCTGAAGACTAACAAAAAACAATTCTGAATCAATATATCACCACTGAAGGGATGATCTACATCACAGGTGTCAAACTCAGTTCCAACCCTAATTAAACACACCTGATCAAACTAATTGAGTCCTTCAGGCTTGTTTGAAACCTACAGGTAAGTGTGTCAGAGCAGGGTTGGAACTAAACTGTGCATGGCTTCGGCCCTCCAGGAATTGAGTTTGACACCCGATCTACATAGTTTAACAATTCTACATATCAATAAATTAAGACTTGCTAATAAACAGAAGTTTAAATTGTAAAAGCTTTGAACATTGACCAAAAATGACAATTGTAATTTAATCTTGCTTTTGTTCAAAACCTATTTTGATTGTTTTTCCATGAAACAAAATATACTTTGAAGAATGTTAAAGTTACCCACTGACTACATTTTTTCTACTCAACTAACGAGTACACGTTTTCAACAATCTTTAAAATATCTGTAGTGTTCAACAGAATGAAGGCATTCAAACAGGTTTGGAATTGTGATGTGTTTGTTTTCTAAACAATAAATGAATAAAATATAATATTGCATCAAGCTGTCAAAGCAATTTAGAGTTTGGTTTGAACCAGTCATCTGACAGCAACACTGATTAAACAGTAAACATATTAAGAAACTGTCTTTTCAATGTAA